ACGACGGCCTTGGCGCTCCTTGTCATGTTTTTCTATTTTTTTCAGCCTTTTGATATGATTGTTTTGGGACAATAAACCGGCGTACGGGGGGCTCATTCTGATTTCGACGTTTTTTATATTTGTCCGCTCATTCCCCTCGCGGATGACACCTTAATCGAATTAGGGCGGAGGTTCTAATCATATATCCATCTGTTTTTGAAATGGGGAGGGGGGGCTCTTGTCTGGGTCTGAAAAGGATACATCATAATCATCACCACCAGAGAGTTGCAAAAGCGTCGACACGCTACATATTTCTCGTTCTGACTTGTCACCTCGAACCCCCGCATGTGCGGTCACGAATGCCACGACACTGGTAGCAACGACGAGCGGTCAGGGAGGGAGATGAGGTGCAGCTATGTAATGATGCATGGGCGCTGAGCATTTGCATTAATATCTCTGCTGCAGTGCCAGGGTGCATTTGATGTGTGTGCCTGCAGATGAGAGCATTGCATATAGGTAAAGAGCAGCATTACAAATAGGTAGAGAGTAGTATTACATATATAAATAGCATTATATCTATCAGCTTGACCTAGTTTCTGATCCCTAAACAAGGCATGACAGTCAAGAGGTGGGAAGTTCCGAAAGAGGTTATATAACATCACCAGTCATCAGGCGCTCTTACCATTGTTCCATCAGCATCAGCAGCAAGGTACTATTATTAATGTACATGCACATATATATGCCGGTAACCCTTGGCCCGAGGGGACCAGCGACATGATTCCAGATCAAGGTTGCCTACCTGGCGGTGGACCCGGAGCCACCTCGGGGGATGTCGCACCAGCTTACTTAGACTCTCTTTTTTTTCAGCTGGGCAACGAGTGGCCAGCAACCTTCCCTTTTTATGCATGTTGGTTCAAGGTCGTAAGAAAGTGATAAAAAAAATCATCAAAGGGCCCTAGAAAACAGATAGAGAGGGAAGTGGAGCGTTGCGGCGTGGCGTCCCAGGCGGAAAACCGTACGATAATAACACCGCACTTCTGACTAGCCGTCATTTTAGTCTGCTGTTTTAGTGCGGTGGTGATATAGCGAGAGCGGGCCATATTTCGCCTCCCTCTCTCTCTGGCCTTTTGGGAGATTGACATCAAGGGGAAAAGAGGGCAGTTTGGACTGCTAGCCTCTTGACTAGCATTAATATAAATAATGTCTCTGTGCTAGGCTTTGGCCTCTCTTGGGCAAGTGTGTGGATTGGTCCCCGTCGGCCATTAGGCCAGGGCGGTTATAGTGGTTAATTAAATTAAAAAAAGGACGCTGTGCACTCCATCTTTTTTTCTCTTACGTAGCACACACGAGAGAGAGAGAGAGAGAGGTCATTCCTGGGATGATGCGAGGTGGGCCAGAGGATCTGATGTGTCAGGTTGATTTGGCTCTACTGCAGACAGAGGAGGATTGGATGGTTAGGCAGCTGGCTAGTTGCGAGACGGATATATGCAGATGGGATGGCACAGCTGGCAGGGCGTAGCGAGGTGGCGAGCAAGGGTGCATAAGGTTGTGAATTTCCGGCGCAGAGCAAATAGTAATGGAATGGACTAATAATATGTCGTTATAGGTAGGTAGGATGCATATAGGCTCTCGAAAAAAGTAAAAAATAAAATAAAAAAGTCCAGCAGGACCAGGGGGTGTTTGCTTTGGGCTGGTGGAGCCTCGAAAAATAAGACCTGAGCATCTGAGAAGCAGATATTGGAGGATAGAGCTGGTTTGTACCTTGGCGGTACCTCCAGCTCTCCCCACCCTTCCACCCTCCGAAGACAAACTACGAAAGGGTCTGACCACCGGTCGAGCGGCCGGTTTTGGCCGACGAGGTGTGCTCTAACGGATATTTCTGATCAATAGTGCCGATTGTCGTCGGATAACGAAAGGGGGGAGCAGAGCAGGTTTGCAAACAGAGTGAGTGTGCGGCTTTGTCTTTTGCCGTTCCCTCCCCCATGCACCTCCGGAAAGGGGAGAGAGTGGTTGGTGGGTTTACGGATGTTGCAGAGTCGCGCGACGCTGGTTTATTCTATTGCCAACACGAAGGAATCGGACTATGCTGTTGGTTGAGTGCCTGCATAAGCCAGAGATACTATGTAGATACCTTGGCGCTACTTGCAGGGGGCAACCTTGTGATGTGATGGGCTAGTCTTACCGGGCATTATGACGACTCAAATCTCCTTGAGAGGAAAAAGTTGTCGGTATGCGGATAGACTTCGCGGTCGTGTATTGTCCAATTGACGACCATGGCGGTGTATAGTCGCCCTTCGCCCCTCTTCCATTTCCATCTATCGTGAAAAAAAACCTGGGCCGACGTATTTCGGTTTCCGCTTGATAAGCGTCAAGGCAAGCTTCCCGGGTGGCTGCATTTACGTACTTAGTGGCATCTTCATGCCTGCATCCAATAAAGATGACGACTAGCAGGTACTTTGGTAGATATTAAATAAGAGTGACACCACATTGGCATGTGCCAGCTGCGACGTCGACAGCAAGGAAAAGGAGCAAGACTGGTGCAGAACCAACAACGGCGATAGGATGCAGGGTAGCATTGCCAAACGGAAATGTCTGTGTGAGGCAAGGCAAAGCAAGGCCAGGCAAGGTGGATAGGCAAGGAGGTAGGTAGTATTACTAGCAGCGAACCTAGCATTTAGGTGCCCAGCTAGTCTTCGCTCAGGATCAGACACGAAACGCCGTGCTGAAAAAGAACCTTTTTCCATGCTAAACGCACTAGGCTGGTCAGACAGACTAGGAAGAACGCGCCGATGGATGGATCAGCGTCCGCTGGCGACGAACATGGAGGGACTATTGCAGCTTCTATAATTGCTTCCTAATTCATCAAGATCATGTCAACTGTCTCAATTGCTTCCTGGCAGCCAGCGACAGGGCCGGATATCCCTGGCCTTGAGACCCCCTTTGTTTCTGCTCGAGGAGAATCTGTCTCATAGGTCTCGCACATATTAGTGCCTCTGCCTGAGTGGTGCAGCGCAGCTCCAGCTCCATGCCTTAATATCCAGCATCCCTATCAATACCGGGCCCGATTAATTACCAGAAGCAAATGAAATAGGACAGAACAAATACAAGTCTACCCACAGCTGGCCACCTCACCTATACCTGCTAGCAAGGTCAAGGCCGGCAGGGCAGCTGATCACTGGTCGCTGCTGGCGAGTACCCGCCAATTAACTTAAAAGACACCTACCTCCGACCCAAACCAGCTAGCCCGCCTCACCATCTCGGAGGCTAAGATGGTAGCACAGTGCCTTTACCTCGCTCCGGTTCCGTGAAAGTACCTCAGGACCCTTCGGCGTCGGCCTTTCTTGTCAAATTATATCACGACGAGGACCAACCAGCTAGCTCCGGAGACCTCCCAGAACCAGAGCCAGACACACCCGTCTGCAGATAGACGGACCCAGCTGCATACCGATGTGGACTGCTGGCGGCTATTGCTTGTTTGTTGCCACCAACAACGCCAGCTGCTGCCAACACCAACCAACAGCCAAACCAAACCAAACCAAGCCTGCTCAATGGACACCTGCGTGCGCACGGGTTTAATTAGAGGTACCTGAGCTGACCTGCCTGGCCTGATCTGATCTGACCCGGGGAGGGGACATCATCTGCATCTGCATCTGCACCCAAGCATCCATCGTAGGCAGTTCCTCCGCCAGTGATTCCCAGGTTGGCAGCCGGTGCGACAATTCGCATCGCATCAATCGCAGTGGACCGTCGCGAGCCAGGTTGCTTCCATGCAGAGACCTGGGCTCAATTCTATCGAAAAAGGTAGGTCGGCCCCCAGCGCGCTGTGTTACCCGTAGCTAGTGCGTGCTTCTCGCTACGAGTGACCTGACTTACTATTATTGCCTCTCCATCGATGACTGTTGCTGACCTCCCACTAGCTCCAGCTCAGTGCGTGCCTTATCCACTCGCGCAACTGCCGCCAGGTGACGCGACTTGACTCTCTCGCTGCGTCGCTCGACATCTGCCTCTGCTTTGGGGGAAGCAAATCAGCCTTTCCCTTTCCTCTCCCATCCCATTCTTTTGCATTCTTTGCATCCCTCCCGTCTTTCTTCTACACCCCCGTCGCTCACCTCACCTCACCTCACCTCGCTTCGCCCCATCTGTTGGTCCAGCGCTGGTGGTACTTTTCTCTACCTACTTTTTTTTTTAGCCTTTCTTGTTCCGGAGCTTATTATCGCCTTGGACTATATTCTTCGCCCACTCTTTCTTTCTTTTTCCTTTCTCTCTTCCTTTCCGTCTTCGCGAAGCTTGTTCCTTGTCTTGAGTCGCTCGCCTATTCCTACTTATTCCTTTTTCCCCCCTTCCATCTCCAGCCCTGGACGACGTCCCGCTGCTAGTGCAACCTGCCTCCCCTGTCGGATCCGACCAGGAGGAGCCGCATTCTCACTTCATCTGCACCGGGATCGAAACTACAGAGCGACAGTTTGGACATTTGCCTCTTCCTGCAATCATCGGATATAGTTTTCTGTGGGGTTTGCATGGTGTCCTCTCTGCGAAGACGGATTCGCCTGGCCCCCCCCCCCCCCCCCCCCCAAAAAAACAAACACCACATCGACGCACCTCTCCTACAGCGAAGTGTCTCACCTGTTTACGGGAACGCGCCCATCTCAGCCACCAGAGACATCGCTGCCCTTCCCAAGTAACCGGATCTAGGATTTTTGGGACAACATCGCAGATCAAGGTTCCCCCCTTTGCTTGAGATTCCATTAATTAATTTGTAATTCGCAAGGTATGTGTTCTATTTCACACCACGTCCTGGCAGGGTACATGCCAGGCATCGCCAACCCTGGTTCTCACTATTTCCATGAAGGTTCACACGGTCTTTGCCAGCTTTCGCCCGGCGCATTTGGCTCGTGGCTCTATATCCAGCGGCCTCCACCTTATGGTGTAACACGCAACGCGCGCGGTTCTCATTTTGTCTTTTGTCCGCGCTTACTCCTACCTGCTTACCGATCTAGCTCCGCGAGAGCAGGTTGCCCAAGATGGAGGACGAAGAGGCTATCTGGGGCACTCTCTCGACCGAGGAGCACCGTTCAGTCTGGGAGGAGACCGAATCAAATTTCTGGTCCAAATTTGCCCTGGAGCAGAAGGAGTGGCGCTCCGAGCAGGAACTGGATTTCAACGAAGCCAGCGTCGAGCTACGCGCCGAGCTTACCAGCCTTACTGGTCAGCGGAAGCAGCTTACCGAGACCCAGGAGCGACTCAACGCGCAGCTGGCCAAGGTGGCAGGCGATCTAAGGAATGTGGTTGAGCAATGCGACGCCAAGACACACGACCTGTCCGAGCTGGACCAAGCTTATCGCAAGAGACTTGAGGAGCAGTCGCAGAAATGGGAAGTCCAGCGGTTAACCATGAAGCGTTTCTTCAAAGAGAAGCACGGCGGATCGGTCCACAGCGATGATGAGGCTGAGGAGTCTGAGGAGGCTGAGGATGATGAGGATGAACCCATGATTGATCTCCCCGTTATCGTGCAGCAGACAACTTCGCCTAGGGCCATGGAAAATGGGAAAAGGAGCCCCAAGCCAATACCGATGGTGGGGCACCGTGAAAAGAGGAGGAAGCACACCGAACCTCTCGTCAATGTGATTGATATCACCGGTCGTGTCATTGGCCCTGTGGAGGTCATCGAGCCATGGAATAAATGGGTTAGCGCCATTCTCAAACTGCCCATCCAGCGCCCTGTCACCATCCGCCCGGGACGACGCTTCACCGATGAACATTTGGCGACCATCTACGACCGTAGCGAGTCCAAGGGTGTCAAGTGGCTCTCGTGCATGATCCAGGCGATTGGACGGGTCCAGACCCAGAGGTGTGCGTCGTGTGATAAGAACCAGGGAGTTTTTCAGCAGTGCATCATTGTCGGTGGCGACCTCTTACAGAAATGCGGCAACTGTGAATGGAATAGACAGGGGTGCCATGGCGCCTCTGGCGAGGGCATCGATTTCAAGAAGGCTGCTGAGCGCATGGAGGAGATCAGAAAGGCCAAGCAGGAGCAGAGGAACCTGAACGGCTCACCCGAAATTACAAGGACAGATGAGGCTTATAATAACAGACGTCTGGCCACGCATCTTAAGGCCATATTTCCATCGAGAGAAACGCCAGAGCCCAACGGAATCGATGAAGGAAAACTAGACCCAAAGCCGGCTGTGAATGAAGGCAAGTCCCAGGCAGAAAGCCCCGCCAGCCCTGTTTGGCAAGCAACTCGAAGCAACCACCAGCCTGAGGAACCAGCAACCAACGGGTCTACGCCATCCAGGATTCTACCTAATGGCTCTTCACCGGATCTGAGCAAGAGGGAGTTTGCTCAAACCCCTCTGGCTCCAACACCCAGGGTTCCCCTCCCATCATCTGGATTCACACCTGCAAATCCTCACAGCCGACCATCCTCTAGGCCACCTTCGAGACCACCTTCAAACGATACCTCGACGCCAAAGGGAGGGTCGCTCGAACCATCACCCCAGCCATCGCTCCTACCGTCATCTTACCCTGCTCACCCGAACGAGCCGTTGGAAGAAATCAACAGGCACAATCTGGTTTTGCGCCACGACGGCGAAGTGTACACACACCCCGACTGCATGATTGGTGTTCCAGTGGCAAAAATTGACGAGAACCACCCTTACTGGGATCGAACGTGGAAAGACATCCGGGCAGAAGTGAAAGACTCGCGGGAGCGATGGGTAGGAAAGCAAAAGGCTATCCACCTGGCTGAGGCACGCAAGGAGTCGTGTGGGTCATCCAAATACCAAGCCGGCCGACAGATTAACCGCGGTACCAAGATCCTCGAGTTTCTCGACGAAGGCCCAATCAGCCCCTATCAGCTCCTGGCGAAGAAGCACATGCACGCCAGCAAGGGAGGAATTGCGTCATACGACACCTTGTTCCGACTTTGCGACACCGTCTCAGAGCTCCAGAAGTACAATATTGGCATCACACCCGTGGAATGGATTCGACATCGGCTGCATGAACTTCTGCAGGTTGAGGGCAAGTCGTTTAACCTACCTCGAACGATGCATGATTTCTACCACGACCCGAAGCTCAGTGCTCTACGAACCAAGCACGGCTACAAGAACATAGGGCGCCCGTCTGCCTCAAAGAGTGGCCGACAGAGTCTAGGCGCTACGACTCCCGGTGGCACACCCCAGGCTCTGAAAAAACGCAAGAGCATGTTGCTCGATTCTGAGACTACACCGGCTTCTTCCCGAGTCGCATCGCCCACCCCATCGTCCCATGGCGGAGGACCTCGGATTCACGATTTGCTGAATAGCCCGAATGGCCCAGCTGTGAAGCGTCCTCGCACCCAGGATGGCTCTGCGGGCTTCAACGAGAAACGGCTGTCTCCACTCATTGATATGAGCGCTACCAAAGCCCTGTTGGGAGAGGAGACCTTCTTTATTTCGCAAGTAAGGGAGCCTGGATATGAATCACCACCCCACCTCCATCTTTTCTGGAGGTTCTACCCTGTCCAAAGGTCACTACAACTTTGCGGTATTCCAAAGGAGAACAGCGCTCAGCTTCATCCACTCACTACGGGAATGTCATTGGGTGATGTTCTGAGTGTCAGGTGGAGCCCAGAGTCGCTTTGCATATTGATAATGCGGAAGAGGGAGCTTTACGGTCCACCCGTTTTTGTGAAAACGCTCTGCTCGTTTCACGAAAAGGGCGCTCTTGAGCGCTTCCTCGAGTTTTGCAAAACTCAACGCCTTAACCTAATTGCCTATTCTAAGTAAGTCACCCCTCGAACGCTGACTCGGATATAACTAACATGGTTTGCAGAGCCGAAGTAGAGGTAGACTGGCCAAAGCCTTAGGAAAATCCGCAATGTCAAGTACATTATGGACCTAATCTAAGCTTCATTCGATGACATGATGCGGCTGTAACACCATATTCTCGACATCCTCGTTCTTAGTAACAAATCAGTTTCACTTGGCGTTTATCCCAAGACGTCACATGGAAACAACATAGTCCAGCTCTTCATGGGGAGTCTGCACTGCTTCTTTACCTTTTGTTCATTTCTGCATCATGCTTGCCTCATCACCTCGGCGTTTTGGTTATAGTCCTGGTTGGATTTTCGTCCTCGTTCCAGGGGGACACAATACCCACTTTTCTTTACCGTCTTCTGTGATAGACAGTTTCTCATCGTTTTCCTGCGATTTACTAGGTACTTCGTGCTCGCTCAGACTCGGAGCTGGGGGGCCAATGGCGTTTAGTGGCGTGAAGTAAACACTGCCGGGGAGGGCATATTCAATCTTTTTCTGTTTCTCTTTTGTTCTTACCTAAAAGGATACCACTTTGAGGATTCGGGTTCGGCCAAGAAAGACTGGCAGCATGTGGGTGTTCCACACGTCTCATGCCTGTCTTTCATAGGGGGCAACGGCGGGAGGCTTTCTGATTTTCTTCTTCTTTTCTTTCCGGCTTTAAAAAAATCCAAGTTTTTAATTACTCTAGATCAGCATCGCTGGGAAGCAATTCACAATTCACATAGGAGGCAACCTCAAGGAGTCATACTGTTTTTTCAAATCATCATTCCCTCCCCCCTTTTAACTAAGAAGGGGAAAATTGAGAGGAATAAGTAATTTACCAATTCCATGTTTCATTGATGCAGTGTCATTGCTATGCTACCTATAAAAAACCCGATCCAAACTCCCATGACGTCCCAAAATCTCTTCAGCCGCTGTCATCTCCGTCTCAACGTCCGTGCTGTAGTTACCGACACCCTGCTGCTGGCGGGCAGCTTCGCAGGGACCGCGCCGGGGACTTCGGCGGCGTCGATCCCGAGCAGACGGCTCATGAGCTCTGCCTTGTGGGTTTGGGCCTCGGGATCGGCATATCCGATCTGGGTGGACGGGGGTTTGGCCTGCTCCTCCTCCTCTGCTCCGTCGTCCCGGAAGCCGCCGCCGGCGGACTGCGGCGCCGAGGCGTTGTCGCCTGCCGCGACGCTTGATGCGTTGCTCATCGCGCGGCCGAGGATCTGGCGCTTGCGCGGACGGGGCCCCGGGTCGCGCTCGCCATTGGTGGTGGTGGCAGTGTGCGTGTCGGGGGTGTCAAGGAGGGTGGTGATTTTTGAGGTGAGGGCCTGGCGCTCGGCTGCTTTGGCTAGGCGGGCTGCCTCCTCGGCAGGGTTGAGGGGAGTTGCTTTGCCTAGAGGCGCAATGGACGAGGATGATTTGCTTAGCGGCGGAGGTTGTTGTGGTGTGTGAAGGGGTTTGTCGTGTGAAGGGTCGGAGGCTGTACGGGATAATGTGTTCGTTAATCTGGGTGCCGTTTGGGGTTTGTGGTTTAATGCACCAGAGGAGAGTTCTCGAAGAGGAGGGTCGGGGCCAGTATCAGTCGAGGCTGCATTTGGTGCCGTGAAGAAATCAGCTGAGGTAGTCGTGTCGGCTCGAATAATGGGTTTCCGACGTTCGGGTTTCGTCGGGGGCTCCTCACTAGAGTCACGCTCGAACCCGGAGAAATCGAGGCGTTTTCTGTTGCTCTTCGGGCCTGTGGCGGCTTGGGCCCCAGGGTCAGATCGAGTTCTCAACTGAGACCGGCTGCTGGCTTGTGATTTCTTCGCCTGCTCAGGTACAGGCTTGGCTTTGAGTTCTGGGAACACAAAGTCGTCGAAGGGCGCTTTAAACCCAGTAGAGATACATCCCCATAGCCAGTCCGCAGACACGATTGGAACCCCCCAGCTAAGAGCACACTTCAACTTCTCCTTGCGCATGGCTGCCAGTGATTTACAGACCACGACGCTGGTGGTTTTGCAGAACCTCTCTTCAAATCTTGCACCCAGCTGCACGACACTTCGTGCAACCTGACTCAGCTCTATATCAGTAAATGCAGCGCTGCAGATCGTCAAGTCTGAGAACCCGGGTATGGGAAACACCGGGAACGGTCTGCCAAAAGCTTGGTGGCTATCTGGAGGTAAGAATCGGCGACTCTGAAGGCATCGTTCAATATAAAACTCAGTGACAATATTGAGACCGTCGTGAGGAGCTTGTGGGTGGGTTTCGGGCTGTGTATCCTGGGGAACGATTAGGAATTGATGCCACGGGGAACCATATTTGGACTGATCAGCGGCCTCTTCAAGCGAGTTGGCTAGATGGCCACCACCCGACGTGATTGTTTGACATAGAACTGTGATTCTCTGCTCCCTGAAACCATGGATAAAGAAAACACATCGTGAGAAAATTCCCTCTTTCTCTGGCACAGGGGCTTTCTCAGGTACAGGTGGTTGTTCTGGTTGCTCCGGCTTCTTAGATTCGACTTTCTGCGGTTGCGCTTCTGGTTGGCCTTCGCGAGGTTGGAGGGAATCCGGTGATGGGCCCCCAGCCAAAATATCGCCCCAAAGTTTGTCTCGTTGGTTGTTGAGTTTCACGCTTGCAATCCTTCTGAGCTTCCTCGCGCCTTCATCTACCCCATTTGCTCCAACACTCGGCCTCTTGCCAAGTGCCTGGCGAGGCGGGTGTTTTATGGCTATCGCTCCAACGCCCTGTTGTTCCGGCGGCAACATTGGATCAAACTTGTCCTCGTCGAGAACCATACCCCGCCCAATACTCTGGGTGACCCATTCCAGGGTCACGATTTTCACGCCCCATGTCTGTGCAGCCACAAACTTTTTGCCTTTGGGCTTCTTTACAACCAGATGTGATGACTGAACGGATAAATGATCCATGTAGAAACCCCCATTGGCGGTGATCTTGGCCGCGATCTCGTCGTTTTGTTCTCCAAATCCGGACAGACATATACGAAGCGATTCCCGATCGAGAGGCTCATGTGGTCGGGTCGCTTGCTTCGCCCCTCTGGACTCGAACGTTTTGAGTCGGTACTTTTCCTCGAGCCCATAGAAGTCTATCACCTCGTCATTCTTCCACAAGTCCGAGACTGAATGGACCCAGGCGGCATCCATTGCCTTGATATCTTGGCGGTGACGGGCGACATGGCGGTATTTGGGCGTGTCGTACTCGCCGACAATGAGATGCGTCACATCGGGGGTGAGGTCGAGTTTGTGAACGCCTCCGAGGTCGACAACTTGCTGAGCAATTTGGATCTGCCATGCGGGAAAGGCATACGACATTAGACGCCAACCCGGGTGAAAACAACAACAGGGGAGGGAGTGGGGGACTTACACGGTGCTCGGAGGATATGCTGGTGCAGCAGACAACGAGGCCCTTGAAGGGCTCGGCAGGATCTATAGCGGGTAGGTTGTCGTCATTGGGATTTGGAGACACCATATCGCCATGCCCAGGGAAGCCAACGGACTTGTTCTCAGGACCGCTTGCAGATGGTGACACGGCAAAGAATGATTTCTCCGCGATAAGGTTGGCGATGGCCAGAATATTTGGGACTAACAATCGAGGTCAATCAACGCGACACACGTGCAGCAGTACCGCGTTTGGCCCACCCACACAGTATAGCCCAGCCCAGACGTCATATCGCTGGTGCTGGGCAGGGAGACAGGTGGTGTGAGCGCGTCCACCCTGCACTGTCCATAGGCCTGTAGAGTGGGCACCAGTCCACCAGCAGGGCTCATGTTGGTTGGTGGCTCAGCGGTAGAAGCACCGTGCTGCTGGCACCGTGGTCCTGCCGTCCACGGCCCCCAGCGTTAGGCTCACTTCTTAGCCTGAAAGTGCCTAGCACTCCATGCCTTAGTTCACGGACAATCTGATCTGTTTGTATAACATTCAGCCCCGAGGCACCATTTGCACAGTTCCTGCGAGCAGTCCAACTCCGTCCGCATCTCGCTAGCCGCACGCTCAAGCCATGGCGCCTTCGTCTGCCCAAATAAAGGCTCTGGTCACTCAGTTCCATGACTTATCTGGAGCCCCCGACCGCATAGCATCTCGGGTAAGTGTGTACAAGAGCGATCAGCTTCCCCTCCATGCCCCGCCTCCCCCCACGATGAAGCACTCGAGGCGGCCAACAATCACGATCAGTCTAGCCCGTCCGCATTCTGATTATTGTTCCCTGCTCCCTATGCTTGGCTAGAGGCCGGTGCTAAGATGAGATCCTCATAGTATTTGAAGGCGACCAACTATAGATTGGATGCCGCTCTCGATTCGTAAGTACTTCACGGACAACACGACCACCTCAACCGCCACACCACCCCCCGATCCACTGAGATAAGCACACCGAACTGTAGCCACTTGGTATCTATATCCTAGCATGGAACTGGGTCAGCGACGAGGCTAGCCGATGAGGGACTCGAGGTGTGCCCGCCATACCCCCAGGACGAGGTGGCCAACGTATGCCTTCGAGCCTGAGAGAAACCACTGTGCATAAGCGTTCGCTTCTCTGAGCATGGATAGACTGGCGTCCGCGTTGTTCCGAGGTCAAGGCTATGGCAATCTGTTTTGGATAGGACTTGTATCTGAATGGATGCGTTCCCACGGTACTCCACCAGGCAACCCAACAAGTGTTGACTTCCAAACCCCGAGATTGCTTGTCAAGATCGGTTCAGAATTGGATCCCGACTATCGAATAATGGCCAGCGAACGCTTATCGTCAGAATATATCCCCTCTCCCCAGCCATCAACCAACAAATCATCTCTACTTCTCCGGCTGGACCTTCCGATTACGCGGGAAGACCACTCACTTGGACTCGAAACTGACCAGTGATGCAGATACTACTCAAACAACAATGATTCGAAACCCTCTCCTTTAGAAAGCCGACTCAATTCTCTTTTCGAATCGTTAAGAGGTATGATCCGATAGCTACAACCTGCGGAGCCTGTCTAACTTTAGTAAATAGACACTAAAAATGACGAGAAGGATAAAATGGAGGTTGAGTCTACGATGAACTACCTCGGGCAAAAGTTGAAAGTTAGCTTGGAAAATGCCGAGCTTTTTGTTGTCTTGGACCTTGTCCAGGCACCGAGCGTGGGAGAGATCACCCGCGCTGGTTTTGTCGAGGGGTGGAAGACGGCCAGGTACATCTTTCGTCAGCGAAGCATAAACACGACCAATACTAACCTCATGCTTGCAGGATTGACGCGACCGTCGAAGCACAAGCCGCTTATGTTCAGAATCTGATTGCCTCACTCTCAATTGACCCAGTGTACTTTAAAAAGGTGTACAAGCATGTCTTTGTCGCTGGAAGAGAGGGCGACCAGAAGGCTCTGGGTCTCGACGTCGCGCAAGTCTACTGGGGAATCCTTTTCTCTGAGCCAGGATTGAAATGGACCAGCCAGAACTATGACTGGTTAGACCTCTGGAAGAAGTTTCTGGCCGAGAAGTGGACTCGTTCCGTCAACAGAGACATGTGGAACATGACTCTCGAGTTCGCCTTGAAGTCTAAAGAAGACGAGTCCCTCTCTTTCTGGAATGAGGACGGAGCATGGCCCAGCGTCATCGATGATTTCGTGGAGTGGTGCAAGAACAACGGCATCGGCAAGTCTGAATCAATGGATGTCGACGACACCAACTAGATATGAGGTGATCGGTCTGGACCTAAATTGTTGTCAGAGGGGTGATTTGGTACATACCAATTCCCCGAGGAAACGTTGATTATGAGGAACCAATGTGGTACCCAAGAAGCATGGCGTCTAGTACTTGGGATGGATTATGACTCTCTGTTATTTATTGTATTGTAGTGGATACGTCAACAGCACAGCGCTAAATGTGACGGACTTGCCTCCATTACCAGCTATGTTGAACCGGCTCAAACACTCACATACATATTATACGTTCAGCGGTTGGTAGCATCCGCTCATGGAGAGTATCCTTTTCTTTTTGGGGTATTTTAGTCAATTTGGGTTATTATTCCTTTGGCTTTTGGTAATGTGTAATAGCAGCTTTTGTACATGGCGTTAATTGCCCCCAATTCTCAGAGTCTCAATAAGCGTACAGTATATGCTGGGTGTTCTTGCTGTGTCTTCCACCCAACAGTCGGTTGTTCGTTTCAATTCCTCCCTTTTTCTTTCTTTTCTAGGTTTTCACATCTTATGATCTCGACTCTTGCCACTTGGGTGACCCGAATCGCGCAAGGGTCTCAAGCTTTCCATCGCCGAGCTTGACGTGTGCCGACCGAATCATTCTGGGCTCTAAGCGGAGGGTGGAGCGGACATCTTGGTGCACCTTGGTCGAGGCGTCGTATCGCATAACGAAGTAGTGGCCGTGGGTGTGCCTCATCTGATGGATGGAAACGGGGCGAGGGAGGGCGAACACGCCCCAATTGGCGAGGCCGCGGATGACGCCGCCATTCTTGACAACAAGGGAGCCGACAGTCTGAGCGATTCTGCGTAGCGGGAGGTTAGTTGGTGCGGTCGGGAATCTGCGAGGGTGGGTTGGATGGGATGGACGAACTCCCTGACTTCGGTCAAGCTGCCTTGGCGGACCTGTTGCGAAAGTTAGCCATCGGGGAAACAGCATCGGCGATTCGTGCGCAAACGTACCACTCCGATTAATTCGTACAGCATGGTGGTGGCTGTATTAATCCTTGTTTGACTGGCGAAAAGCCCAGGCTGGTGATGTCGGGACTTGTCGAAATTCTGAAATGCTTCTGTCACGTGCTCCCCCGGCCGATTCGCGACCCATATTTTCTTCGAGAACCACGCCTCAGTAACAGCCAACTACAACTAGAAGCACATCCAATGAGACGAGAATCAGCACCATTCAAGTCTGACTTAGCCATTTTGGCCTCAGCTACCCTCCTTCCGGCTGGGAAGCATATGGGTACTCATATGGCAGCAGTCTTGAAGACATGATGAACCCAGCACTCATTCTCCTTGGTGAATATCTCCTTGGCGGGCTCTTAAGACCAAATATAATCTCCCTGACTTGCGCTCGCTATTCTCGTGCATTCGCATGTCTTCCGAGACTACGTAGTAAACGGTCATGAATTACCAGGCAATGATCATTACGTATCAAAATGCTATTCTTACAGTTTAGTCGCCACCACCGCATCCACCACCACATCCACCACCATCTCCTATAATAGGAAGAGAATTGTTAGCATGTAGACATTTCGCATTATTTCAAGTCTTCGTAGGGGCATGTGCTTACCACCGCCATCCCCGCCATCAGCCACGAAGGTATACACGTCACACAGGCCGGAGATGTCGAGTCCAAGCTGACCACCCCCAGCAAGCTGCTCTGCGTTTCCGCAACCTGCAATGCAACCTCCGATATTTCCGTCAGCATTGATTGACGCTGATGACGGGGGCATAGGTATACTGCTCGGGTACATGTGCGCGTCCACGTACACCGGGCAAACCCAAGGCCCCGGCAGCAAGAATGGGTAGCCCCAGTGATCGTAGTACTGCTCCTTGCTTGGGGATTTCCTGCCATTCTTCTTGGCGATCTTGGCGGCTCTGCTTTTCCCCGCCTCGCGGCGCTGTGCGTGCATCTGGAGGAATTGCGTGGCGCTCCAGTGGCGCAGGGACGGCCTGGCGACTGTGACCTTGACGGCGTTGTGGGCGGATATGTGAGGGCCTGGGTCGCAGGATGTGAGGTCTTGTTGGGCGTACAGGTCTTTGAGCGCTGGTTGTGAGTGTCAGTTGGGAGGGGTTTCGTTTCCCCAACGTAGTAATGAGCAGGGCTGGAATCTTACATACCTTGCTGTCTCTTTGACTTGCCCAGCATGATACTGATACTGGATGTCTGGCTTCCTCTTACGGCTGTAAAAGGTTAGTTTGACGTTCAACAAGGCTCAAAAAAGCTGCCATTGAGGTAGGGAGGACATACCTTCACAATACCAGCAAATGCAAGTTGAGTAGATCTCGCCATAAAGTTCGAAATATGTCTCGCACATCCACTCAAAGGAGGCTGAAAGTTTGTTGTCCTCGACCTTGTCATCATGGTTCAGAAACTTGGAAAGCTCCCTGGTCGTCGTACGGTAATAGTCTTGAGGGCTAAGTTGATGTGTATGCCAAGCCAGGTCAAGGTCAAGAGTAGGAACGACCATTTTGTCCGGATGTTTCTTGGCGATCTCGAGGAAGCGAGAGTACTTCAAGACCGATCGCTCCATTGTCTCCATTAGAGCTGGGCTATGGAGCCAGTCGAACTGATCACTTGCCGTGTTAGCTGCCGACTTGGTGTAAGGGCCTGCGCTTGCTCACTGACCTTGTACATCTTGTCAATGAAGAGGCCCTGCCGGATCACGGCTGCGCGTAGGTCAAGCCCAAATGAGGACCAGTTGCTGTCCGAATAGCTGGCAAGCACCTTTCGAAGGTGCGCAGCGGCCCTTGGAGTGACGACTTTACTTCTTGTAGAAAGGACCGGCTGGGGGAGAGCCTCTGTTAGCACTATGGTATAAAATCTCATACCCGCGAGACATCGTTACTCACCTCCGAATCGCTGTTGGCCATCACTGACAACGTCGAAGGCTCCTCGATTAAAGTAGTTATCAGCGTGCGGATGTCCTCCATCGTTGGTTTCTTCTCGCGCACTCGCCACTGCTTCATCATCACGCTCACTCGGGAAGCGAGAACATGTCGAGCGAGACGATTTGGGCTTGTGAGCGCAGACTTTGATTTGAGAGCGCCTCCGCTCCGTCTACTGGATTCTGGCATCCCCGTCGCAAGCGAGAGCAACGTGCCGGGCATGGGCCATCCGTTTTCGACCAAGTTTTCCGCATCCCTGGCGAACTTGGCGACGCAGAGCAGGTCTGCATCAGTCATGATGTTGCACTGAGGGCACCTGTGCTTGAAGTCTCCATCGCCATAACCGTTTCCTATGATTTTAAGCTGGCTAGCTATCGAGGCTGTCTTGGCGTTTGAGCTCGAAGCCAGGGGCTGCTCTACCAGTTCACAAGTCGTCCAAGGAACTGGAGTTATTTCTTTGCAGACTGGGCATGCGAGCTCGATGTATGGCGAGCCATCCAAGTTGTCCCATTCTAGACCTGTCTGTGAAGTCCAATTGTTCTTAGCTTCCTCGGGAGCCTGGTACTCAAACAAGGAATTCGGGTCACTAGAGATGCAAAGGTCGATCAGATCCCAGGGGATGCCTCCAACCCATAATTTCGGTAGACCTCGACGCATCGCATCCTCAAGGTAGTTTCTGGGGTTTAGGATATGAGTATGCCAGATTAACAGGACATCTTGAGAGCGGAGGACAGTGGTCAGTATCAGTATTTAAGAGCAACGGCAAGTAAAAGAGCTCATAGCATACCAAGCGGAACAAGTTCGTGCCATTCCATTCTCATTGGAATGTCCACCTCGGGAAATCTGTCATATCGCCCGCAATCGACCAATTCCATGTCAATTTCTTGGAGGGGAATCCCGCCCAGAGTCTTCCACCAGGTTTCGTAGCGATGAACAGCACGAGCAAGGTAGACAGCCCATCTCTTCTCCCTCAACTTGGATTCTCCCCTTTCAGTTTCCTCGCTATTGATGCCAACCTTCTTACTGCGGCCATCTTCAATACCAAACAGGCCATCCTGGTAGCCAATACGCAGCGCCAGGCCTCGGAAGGCATAAAGAAGGCGAAGATGTATTATACATGTCCGCGGCTCTACCAACGGATTTGGAGCATAAGATGGTGGTGTTTCAGAACTGCTCATACTTGTGCCAGGCACTTGTTTCGAGGACTCGGATGGTCAATTAGAGAAGAAAGTTGGAAGTGTTTTATTCTGAACTGTCTAGACACCCGACCGCTTTGATATAAGAGCTGCATATCGCCTACATCTTCAGATCGCCATACTAACTAGGCGCATTCCCGTATTGCACCGCCCTTGCCTGTTGTTAGCCTTGTCAAAGCGTCCTCTCAATAGACGCTGGGGTGGATATTCAAAGGTCCGAAATCCTTGTGACGGTGCGGCTGACATCTCAGCGTGAAATCCTTCCAATGGGCAGTTGAGATCTGTGAACGTGGCACCATTAATAGATTGAACTGTTGTACTGCGCACAGTGGATAGAGAGAAATCGGGCAACTACGCCCCATCAGATGCTACGCGATAGGCAGCTCGATGGTAGACGAGCGACTTGGTTCAAAGTGAATGCAGCAGCAAAATGTCGGTCACAGACGGCAGCGAAGAACCGAGTCTGCCTACCCTAGGCTTTCTTCATCAAACATCACCAGCCATAGGTTTGAAGTTTCCTCCTTTGGTTGGTTCATACGACATTGTATTATTTCAACGGCTGTAGGTTCTGTTTTCCAGTTGCTGCATCTATTCAATGGTGCTACATATCGTTCGAATCAACCGCACGAGGTCCTCTAGCCATGATTACTTCAGTATATAGCGAATATGTTACATAATATTACAAGCATATAAGTTACAATTCCAGCCCTCATTAACTCATAACCGATGCTTAGATACTGATTGCCAAATCCTCCAGGGAAGCCTCCAACCACTGCTCTTCACTGCAAATGGATCGAAGTTTGCCTTCTCCAAATTTTCCAAAAACTGTCCGGCAGGGATCCCCTCGAGAAGCACCCCAAAGCCACGACGCAATTCTAGTGTCGCATCATCGTCTTCTTCGTATATATGTTCGCCTTCGCCTTGATGCTCGAATTCGTGACCTGGATCCTGCCCCGCTTGTAGCCTCTTAAGCATTTCTCGCGCCGTGATGAGATGGTCGTTTGCTCTTGTAGCAACTTTGAAAACTGCCTCCTGCAGTCCCGGGGCATTGGGACCTTGCCTGAACACTTCCTCCTCTTTTACGCCCTCTTCTGCCATGATATCTAAAGGCAGCAGCAGCGAGGGCTTGTGTGTGGTAGGCGCATCGAATCCGGATGGCGTCTGGACTGGCTGCGCGGGAGCTGCCAACACCGGGATGCCTCGCAGGACTGCTACAATGCCGCAAGCTTTCCCAATATGACTGGCCAGGTGATCCACGTGCATCGATCGCAGAGGCATCATGGCCAGTGTCGCATACATCAACGTCGCATAAGTATTCTCTCCGTAGTCCTCTAGACTTGCTAGACTGGTAAACGGACGGTTATCCATATGCTTCTCCCTAGTCTTGATCAGCCTTGAGACCCAATATTTGATGCTCTTCTTCGTCGCGCTGCCAGCTCGCTTCTCAAGGTCTTGGAGACTTTTGTCGAGGAGGATACAAATGGGCTCGCGAGGAGGTTGCCCAGCGAAGGTTTTGTCGAGAGATTCCTGCCAGAACTTCATGCGCATCAATCCTATCGTGGGATTCGAGACGATTTCGGGGAGGCGCACGAGCTCTAGGTTGAGCGCCCGAAGCGCGGCATATGCATCCTGGACCGGGGGAGGGACGAATCGACGGATGAGGTGGGCGTCATAATCGCTTGTTCTGGAAACCCATGCGAGTTAGACGCTGTACAGAAACAAAGATATGGAATTGGAGCGGATAGACGGACTGTAATTGCTTTAAGCAGTAGTTTCTGGCAGAGGCGATGTCGGCTTCGGTCACATAGCTTCGGGATTGTGCAGCCCGCGCCAGCCTGCTGAGGCCATTGCCTAGAAGTCTGGGGCGATGCATACAGAAAAAAGAGCGAATCTATGTGGAGAAAGAAAAAGAGTTTATATGAATTGACGATTATAACGTCATGATGGTCGTGCAATGGGGCTGTCCTGCTGGAGAAACCGCCCACCTTGCTGATGTTGAAATTATTTTTACCTCGACGCTGATTAGAGGAATATGACGTCGGGATTTCCACTCATTGGAGCTTCGGTAGAGGTACCTCTTTAGCGTGTACCCTGAAGTCGTGTCACGTGCTCACTTTACGCGGTCAGACGCGGTGTGCAGGTCGGCGCGTCTCTCCTGCCTTAGTTCGAAAGCTGTGAACTTGGAATAAAGTCGGCACTTGTTCTGCCGTTGAATAAATGAACAGCCAATCATTATGAATTCGGGAGCCTCTCCAGAACCTCCCGCCAAGAAAAGGAAATTTTTCCAAGACTCAGACGAACCGACCCCGCCAGTGCAAGATGGCCCGTCCTCGAACCAGAAACGCTTTTTCGATGATAGCTCTTTCGCTATCAAACCGGAGGTGAACGACCACAGGACCTCGAATGGTCCAAGCCGTACTTTGTCGCCCACAAATCGCCCGACAACACACGCAGAGCCTGGATCGAGACACGAGTCGTCTGACGTGACTTTTGACCAGGATGTTTTCGAAAGCTTCGTGGGGGAGAAGGTCAGCCCCGATGTGCTGGCCATCATCCGCAGGAATTGCGGCGATAACCTCGAACGAGCCGTTAATATGTACCTTGACGGCACATACAAGAAATTCCAAAAGCCTTTACCCTCGAAATTGGTACGACCGTCGGCTCTGGGCAACCAACAATCTGCTTCTGGTAGTCCGTCAAATCAACCTGTCACTCCACCGAAGATCTTCCAGAACATGCCAGAGTCGAGGTATATAGGAGCATTTGGGGCTGAAGGATGGGCGACTCGAAGCGGTACAAACCTGCTCAAGCACGGCGACCTCATCAAGATTGAGCGACACAAGATCCAGCCTCCCCAGCCTTCAAAAGGGAAGGGCAAGGCAAACGGCTCGCCAGTATCGAACCTCCGGGGATCTTATGCGGCTGCCCGGCGAGTCGACGTCATTGTTCGATTCACTTCGCAGAATGGTGTGGAGGTTGGACGATTAACCAAGGAAACGGCCAACTGGGTATCGACACTGATTGATGAACGAATTTGCAAGTTCGAGGCGACATGTGTCTATGCACCTGAACGCATGCGTACCAATGACACTGTGTTCTTGCAAATACGATGTGCCCTTCTGCGTACTGCGTTCTCCCGAGCCTTTCGACTGGCAGATGATCGATCGAACCGACCTTTCGAGCAAGAAGAGACCACGGACGAGAAGAAGCTCCGGCTTGTGCAGACAGCAATGATGAGATTATTTCAAGAAATTAATCTGCAACCCTCTATGGCGAGTGCGAAATCTGCAGAGGGAAGGAAAGGGCTGCTTCGAGCTGCAGAGATGGACGAACAAAAGCAGAAGGACGCCAACCAGAAGAAACCCAACCCGGTTGTCAATAATGGAACTGATTCCCCTCCATCTGAAGAACCAGAAGAGGGAGAGGAGCTGGAACAAGATCAGCTTGATGCGTTGTACAAGAAGGCACAATCTTTCGACTTCAATACACCGGAAGCCGAACCTGATGACACCTTCGCAATGAACCTTCGACCGTATCAGAAACAAGCGCTTTATTGGATGTTGGCAAAGGAAAAGAACCAAAAGGATAACCGCGAGCTTTCGATGCACCCCCTCTGGGAAGAATATACTTGGCCAGTCAAGGACGTGGATGATAAGGAGCTCCCTGCTGTGAAGACTCAGCCAAAGTTCTATCTTAACCCGTATTCAGGAGAAATGTCTTTGGATTTCCCAGTCCATGAACAACATTGTCTCGGAGGCATTTTGGCTGATGAGATGGGTCTTGGAAAGACAATCCAGATGCTGAGCTTGGTTCACACTCATAGGTCCGAGGTTGCTCGGCAAGCAAGGTTGAATAAGGGAGAGCTTGCTTCCGTGAACCAGCTCCCACGACTCGGAGCAAATACAGCAATTACGCTAGATGCTCCTTGCACCACCCTTGTTGTCGCGCCGATGTCCCTCTTGGCTCAATGGAAGTCGGAGGCAGAAAAAGCATCGAAAGAGGGAACAATGAAGATTGAGCTCTACTACGGTACTGAAAAGACCGACAACCTTCAAGCCCTCTGCTCAAGCGAGAGTGCCCCGGATCTTGTCATTACAAGCTACGGCATTGTTTTGTCAGAGTTCAGCGCCATTGCAGCCAGGAATGGCGACAAAACATTCCACAATGGCCTGTTCTCCTTAAATTTCTTCCGAGTAATCTTGGACGAAGCGCACAACATCAAAAACCGAGCATCGAAGACAGCCAAGGCATGTTACGAAATCTCCGCAGTCCACCGCTGGGTCTTGACCGGTACTCCTATTGTCAACAGGTTGGAAGATCTGTTTAGTTTGGTGCGATTCCTGGGCGTGGAGCCGTGGAATAATTTTTCCTTCTGGCGTACTTTCATCACTGTGCCCTTTGAATCTGGGGAATTCGTGCGAGCTCTAGACGTCGTGCAGACTGTGCTCGAACCATTGGTCATGAGACGAACCAAGGATATGAAGACACCCGATGGCGAGCCCCTGGTTCCATTACCGCCGAAACATGTCGATGTCGTCAGCGTGGAGCTGTCACATACTGAACGTGAAGTTTACGATTACATTTTCAATAGGGCAAAAAGAACATTCTCGAAAAACGTGGAAGATGGAACTGTGATGAAGGCGTTCACGACTATCTTTGCCCAGGTCCTCAGATTGCGCCAATCTTGCTGCCACCCGTTGCTTGTGCGGAACCAGGATCTTCTTGCAGACGAGGAAGAAGCTAGAGCAGCCGCCGATGCTGCATCCGGTTTGGCAGACGATATGGACTTGGAGTCCCTAATTGCAAACTTCTCAGCGAATATTGATGAAGCATCCCAGGACAGCAACCGGGTATTTGGTGCCCATGCCTTGTCAGAGATTCGTGACGAGTCTGAGAAAGAATGCCCCTTCTGTTTTGAAGAGCCAATGAAAGACCAGATAGTCACGGGGTGCTGGCACTCGTCATGCCGCAAATGTCTTCTCGACTACATGAAACACGAGAGCGATCAAAGGAAAATCCCCAAGTGTATCAACTGCCGTGAACCGATCAACAAGCAGGACCTCTTCGAGGTGGTGCGGCATGAAGACCAGCTCGACCCGGTATCAGGAAAACCGCAGATTAGTTTGCAACGACTCGGCGCCAACACTTCTTCTGCTAAAGTTGTAGCTCTCATATCTCATCTACGCGAGCTGAGAAAGGAACACCCGCTGATGAAGTCGGTTGTCTTCTCTCAATTTACAGCATTCCTCAACTTGATAGAGCCATGCCTCACAAGGGCAAAGGTGAAATATTTGCGTTTCGATGGCACCATGTCGCAGAAGGCACGTGCGGCGGTGCTGCAGGAATTCGCAGATGGGAAGGATTTTACAGTCTTGCTCATTAGTCTGCGGGCGGGCGGTGTTGGGCTCAACTTGACGAGCGCCGGGAGAGTTTTCATGATGGATCCGTGGTGGAGTTTCGCGGTAGAGGCACAAGCCATCGACCGTGTCCATCGAATGGGCCAGGAAGAGGAGGTGCAGGTCAAGAGATTTGTGGTGCAGGGGAGTGTGGAGGAGCGGATGTTGAAGATCCAAGACAGAAAGAAGTTCATGTGAGTATCCCAACCGGAGGCCTTGTTGGTGTCTGAAGCATTATGACCTACCATTCATTGACACAGACATGCTAATATTCGTGAATAGTGCGACGTCTCTGGGCATGATGAGCGACGAAGAGAAGAAGCTGCAGCGTATTGAGGATATGCGGGAGTTGCTGAGCTGAGAATCTGACGTGACGGCATAAAATTCATGATACAGCGCGCATGGGAATAAACAAGTCTTCGGCATAGGACGGCGCAATGTTTGGGCATTAGATATATGATGATACACACGACACGGCTCCCGGGTTAAAGTGGCAATTAGAGCTGGAGCGGAAGGGAGATTATAGGGACAAAAACACGTCGTAGTATATTTTAATCACTCAGATTTACTAAAATCTATGGGATGGAGAAGTCAAAGGGTCTCAACGGAGATCGTTGATTGTTTCTTATCGAAAGCACGTCCAGGCTTCTAACTGACTAGGCTGCTCAACTTCGTGATGTAAGTCAAAAAGACGCTGCTGTCGTCATCTCGTACTGCCAAGGCCAGGTACTGATAGCTTAGGGGGCTTAGGGGTGGTTGGATAGAGATAGAGTGTCGATCTTCACCGAAGCATCCTGAGAATTGGGTTAGTATTGTTACATTGCACAAACATGCTACCCACTGCCACTGTAACAATGCGCCCAAAGCTGCTGTTCTCCGCAGTGGTAATCGAAGGCGGGGTTCGTTCCATCCATCCATTGATTATCTTGACTTCCGGGGAAGGGGAAAATCAGTTGATAAACTAGCAATTGATTAGGTAGGTAGATGCACGATGCCAGGGAGGAGGACCATAACATAAGATTTAAGGTAAGCAAGACCTTGTAAGACATGTCTAGCCCATTTCCTGGTTCTCAATTTGACAGTTCACTTCTTTTCCTGTCCAATTGATACTGGCAGAGACTTTGGGACAATGTCATTATCCTCAGCCATGTGGAAAGGTGGCGCGCTGCTCTGTGCAGCAGCATTCACATCTGCTCTCCAGACCTTACCGCCGGTCAATGAGGTTTCAAACGAGGGAGGATCATCTCCATTGTCAATTGGGTCTGTGACCAAGACTATATACATTGAGAAGGGTTTTGCTTCGACCAGAGATACAGACGGCCTCACTCTGATCCCACCGAGCGCCAATGAATTTGCCTCGCTGTTCCAACAGGATATTACAGACCTCACGGGCTTCAGCTGGACCATTGAGCAGGTAGACAGCCTGCCCACCACTGCCAATGCCTCCGGGATCTTCCTCGGGGCCTTCACAGGCAATGATTCCACACTGACATACGAGAATGGGGACCCCACGTCGGAGGGCTATCGGCTCGATGTGAGCTCTACTGCAGCATTCATTCGAGGGACAGGAGCTCGTGGGATGTGGTGGGGGACTCGCAGTCTGTTGCAACTGGCTCTCCTAGGCAACGGCACCTTGCCTACAGGGAGCAGGATTGACGCACCCGCGTATCCCACGAGAGGCTTCATGGTCGACGCGGGCCGGAAATGGTACGCGCCCGAGTTCTTGAAGGAGATGTGCAGCTTTGCATCCTTCTTCAAGATGAGCGAGTTCCACTATCACCTGAGCGACAACTACCCACTCAACCGCGGACACAACGAGACCTGGCAGGATGTGTATTCGCACTTCTCGCTGCGGCCTGAGGACGAGTCTCTCCTTGGCATACTCCACGGACGGGAGAACGAGACGCTCTCCCGAGACGACTTTGCTGATCTCCAGAGCCACTGCGCGGCCAGAGGCGTGACTGTGATCCCGGAGATTGAAGCACCGGGCCACTGCTTGTACCTGACCAAATGGAAGCCAGAACTGTCACTGGCAAAGAGAGACCTCCTGAACCTCACACACCCCGAGACCATCCCCACAGTCAAGCGGATCTGGTCCGAGTTCCTCCCCTGGTTCGAGACGAAGGAGGTGCACATCGGCGCGGACGAGTACGACGCAACCCTCGCGGACGACTACATCACCTTCGTCAACGAGATGGCCAGCTTCGTCAACGCCACCGCCGGCAAGCAGATCCGCATCTGGGGCACCAACGAGCCCTCGGAGAACCTGACCATCTCCAAGGAGGTCATCGTGCAGCACTGGCAGTACGGCGAGTCCGACCCCCTCCGGCTCGTCGCCGACGGCTACCGCATGATCAACACGGAGGACTGGTGGGCCTACATGGGCATGAAGAACGACCACATGCCCATCCTCCCCGCCAAGTACCCCCAGTTCTTCAACGAGGCCCGCATCTTCGACTTCGCGGGCGAGGACGGCTGGCAGTGGCAGCCGTCGCTGGTCAACCCGTTCAACGCCAGCATGCAGCTGGTTGAGGGCGAGCCGCTGAACAAGGGCGCCATCACGGCCGCGTGGAACGACAACGGGCCGGACGCGTCGACGCAGCTGGAGGCGTACTACACCATGCGCCGGGGCATCGCGCTCGTCGGGGCGAGGGCGTGGAGCGGGAGCCGTGGGCCGGAGCTCGAGGAGGCGTTGGTTGCGCCAAGCATCGACTTCTTCTCCCCTCTTGCCCCGGGGCAGAACCTGGGTCGGATCATACCCCGGAAGGAGGGAGGGAGCAGGGACGGCCCCCTCGTCTCGTGGACTGGATCGGGAAGAAAGAACAGCACGGAGGAGCTTGGGTATGGCAGCAAGGGTATGAATTACACGCTGCAGCTCTCGGCTACTGGGTCGTTCAGCCTCACCGGGCCTGACAACAAGCTGTCTCTGAAATGTAACGGCGAGCTGGTGTTCAACGCGGACGGCTATGAGTACCCCCTGCGTCATGTGGCTGCTCAGGACGCGCTCGTGCTGGACCCGGGGCACCCAGGTCGGATCTGGGTCAACGTTTCGACCTCGACGCACGAGCCGGTGCCTGTGTCGACGCCTGCGAACATCACCATCTCGACGGACGTGTTGCACGGAAGTGTTGTCTGGCTGGATGGGAAGGTGGCCGGGCGTTTCGAGGTTTTCGTATTTGGGGGCCGTAACACGCAGTTTAGCTGGAGCCAGATGGCTTTTGTTGCGCCGCTGGAGACTGTCAGGGGAGGGCTGAAGGAGCTGGTGTTGTATGAAGAAACTGCGTTTGAGAAGGAGGAGCGTTCCTTGATAACTCGATCGTCGAAGCACGCGCGCCGGCGGAGCCGAGATACTTAGGTTTCGTTATTAGAATACCAGAACCAACTAAGTTTAGACAAACCTGCTGTTCATTGCAGTGGCATGCGACCCGTTAATAATCTAGCCAGTGAGACGATTTCCCTCTCAACCAAGGCTCGGTCCTCGGGGAGCCGTTTGCGATAGCTGCCCAGATCTATGTAGATGTCCAAAAGCCGCTCCTTTTGTTTGGGAGTGGCCAACTCATATGTAAGGATGATGCCCCTTTGTAAGGATGTCACTGCGACAAACGCCTTGTAGCGGCAGAAGTACGGGATGAAGCTCCAGACCTGCGCGCAGAGCGCCCTTAGGTCCCTGAGCAAGTCGGCTTCGTCTGGGAGGCCGTGGGCGCAGCTCCAGTCGTAGCGCATCCGGAGGATGCATACGCGGAAGGCGAGGAAGGCGACGAGGCCCTGCGCGGCGGGGAGGTTTGATGGGTGGTAGCTTGTTCCTGTGATTGAGGTTGGGTCTCTCTTCTTTGTTGCCTCGCCGAGCTCAAACATATTGTTAAGAAGACCAGATGTGATGGTGCCTGCTTCCTCGTCCGTCCGGCGGAACTCTTCTGTGATGTCTTTTAGATTGGGCGAAACCTTCGTTGACTCGGTAGGTTTCCACAGAGATTGACGGTAGCGGATAAGGTCTGGCATCTTGGCATATATACCTGTAAGTTGATAAAGAGCCGACTTAATAGGCGCCTTCATCTGCTTCAGCTCGGGGTAATCGGACATGGCGTTCGAGATTGCGTCCCTCCACGGCGGATCATTCATGATGTTCTTCCAGCCAGTCAATATCCAGTAGGGGACCTGAACAGCTACTGTTAGTCAAGCCGCATCATATGAGAGAGACAAGGTATTTGGTGAGGGTCTAGGCTTACTAGAATACCGTAGTTCTCGCAGACGAGACTGGTATAGAACTCGTCATCGGGTTTAGGAGGTCCCATGGCGGCTAGTAGAATAGTTATGCCCTTCTCGTGGAGCATGGTTCGCCTCCCCGGGTTGAACAGATCTTCTGTCCGCTGTAGGATGGTAATAGCAGCGAGCGTCTCTACCGCGATGGCGTTGCGAGAGTCGAGAGTTTGACGTAAGCTTTTGATAGCCCGGCCATAAGCAGGCATCGTGACGAACTCGACCAGGGGCACGCGGCGACAGAAATCCGCCCAGACAGAGCAGAAGAGGTAGATGACATCGCGGAGACAGGGGAACTCTGACAGTCGCTTGGGGACATGTTTGAGATGCTTTGTCTGGATGATGATGCCTCGATCCGGGGCGCTGTTCAGATGAAGCACCAGACGCGCCGCGACGCTGTCAGCAATGGTGGTAGGGGGAGACTGAGGACTGGGCGTCCGGGATGGGAGTTGAAGCTGTAGCTGATGAGTCTCATTGCCATCGCCATCTTGGTCGATAGCCCCCCCGAGCACACGTTTGTGGTTGGGATGGAGCCCATCAGGGACGAACTTGAGCAACGTCGATGGACCAGGGCATGTGGCGCCTCTCCTCTGGCAAGCACGGCACTGCGGCCAATTCTGGTCGCACTACATCTAGGAAGGACTCGTTTAGCTAGTGATGGAGGAAATCACTCAATTTGCTTTGCAGATGTCCAGGCCTGACCTTTATTTTCCGAACCTTGCATGTCCTGCAGCCGCGGGAGCGGGGCACACCAGGCATCGTGAGGCAGGCTTTATGAGCTCAATATATTAAGACGAGCCCCGGCAGTACGATTGATACCTGGGAGAGACGGTCTCGGCCTGCTGATGGGGTGATGTTGACGGGAAAAAGGAGAAGGAGAAGGCGTGAGAAGATGCCTAAGATTGGGGGCCATCCGTCAGTTTGCTGGGGCCTTTGGTGTTACAGCCGCGGGCCCCCATTGTGTACTCGCGAGCCAGGCTAGGTAGTCTTTTTAGACGACGCTTATGACCGTATGGCTGCCTTGAAACGGTGGTTTGGGGTTTCCAACGGCGCGAAGCATCATGAAGCATTTTCGTGTGCATTTCATGGAGGTAACTCAGTGATGTAGAGGAGATGGAACATGGAACCAGCCAAACGCTATCAGCGCAATATGGAACCACTTATAGGGACTAAATTGGCATGCCGCCAGTGATGCGACAGGGCACTAGCCTCTGTATTAGTGCATCCCAGTGCTATCAGCTAGGCGGTCCAGTGGAGCTACAGAGGGCCTCGGGCTGAGCTGCCACAAGAGACTCGCATCTGGATAACAACCATTCAATTGAACTTTTCTTACCTGACTGTATACTGCCATACCTACCTACACTACCGAAGCTCCTGTTCTGAAAATCTCAAAGGGTTCCATTCCACACCTGAAAACAACAGCATCCCTGTATCCTGATCAGGCGCCCGAAGCAAACGACTTGAGATAGTCGGTATGTCTGGTAGGAATAACGACACTGTTCTGCCCCTCGCGATCCAGAACATAATAATCCATCAAATCCCGGATGATCTCTTCCTTGATCCTCGCAGCTAGTACCTTGTCACCTCCGACCTCATGCTCTAGGAAAGTAGTGAATTCGGGTAAGCACACTATCATCTCAATTGTTGTGCCGATAGTGAGCCCCTGACCTTGGACCTCCACACCTTCCACCACGTCGTGAGTGTAAATGGTTGGAGGGTTGGAAAATAGGTTTGGGTTCTCGGCTAGACCTCTACCCGGGGGTTTGATCAACTTGAACCGGCCCCAAAGAGAGAGAGTCCCGAGAGGGAAAGTGGTGACTAGGGGGACGAAGAAGTCTGACCAAATGCAATGCCGACCGTTTTGGCGTAGGCTCGGGCTGTCAACCATGAGGCAGTCTCCCAGTCCCAGGACTTCGAGCGTCTGTTTATGGGCGCTGAGGAATTCTATGAACACGAATGTTACTACCTCGATGTTTGTCAAGTAGAGTCTTCGCAGCCGAGGCCAAACAGTTTCTGTTGGCAGAAAATACGCAATTTCGGCGTAGAAGGGGTACTCGAGATCGTGGAAGACGCTGAAGTAGGTGATGTTCACCTCTTCGAGATTGGAAGCCGCGCACAAGAGACTTTTGATTCGGTTATTGGCCAGAATCTGAGTGACCGGCCGCCACCCCTGAAATCCATCTCGCTCGAATTTGACGTAGATACACAAATCCAAGACGAGGAGATTAGGGAAGATTCTCATCATGTGAGAATAGACCTCACCCCCCTCATTAAACATTTCGATGCCCAGCGCATCAACCCACAGAGTCTTGAGTTGGGTCTCGATGGTGGTACTCAACAATGAGCCCAGCATAAAAACACCAGGAATTACAACTTTGGGTGAGAAGACTCCAACCTGATAGGACGGTGGTGTGAAGCAACCTCTGAAATCACCGTGCCTTGTGTTTAGAAAGTGGAATGCATGGTTGCTGCGCAGATGATATGGTGGCGGGAAAGCAAGACTGTAGTAACGAATCTGCAGGTGTTTAAGCTTAGGGAAGCGCTTGCAGACAATCTCCATGTCTTGCGAAGGCTCCATGGACCTGAGAGCGGTGCCCTGAGCAGCAAGTAGCATATTGTAATAGCTCCAGCTCTCCATCCATTCCTCCTCTGAAAACCAGAATCTGGCTGGCAGATCAGATGGATATGGGACTGGGGACGTCATGTCACGCTTCCAGTCGTCGAAGTTGTAAAAGGGGCGAAACACGTTCCCCACGAAAGCAATGGTGGATATGTGCTGGCTGAAGAAGGGATGCGAGGAAATTTCATTCAGTCGGGCAATGCTCTCTGGCACAAGAGCGAAAGTTACTTTTGTACCAAGAGCGGATCGGCCGACATCAGCAAGAGGCCGGCAGACAAGACGGGCGTTGGACACATCCGACTTGTCGGGGAGATATTCGAAGATTTGGAGGAGGACCTCGGCGGGCATGGACCTAAGTGTGACCTCCATGGCGACTGGAAAATGTAAGTATGAGCTTCAAAAGTATTCAATCCTCCATCAATACTCACAAGTAGCTTGTTGGCTGTTTGTTGATTTGTTTGTTTGTTTGTTCGTTTCTACGATTCTCTTCGCGTCCAACTGAGAGGCGTGCGTTCAGTGCGAAGAAGAAGAAAGAAGATGACGACGAGCAGGTGCTGATGGCGGCCTTATAAAGGAGGGGTAGCAAAGTAAGACATCCTTCCATTGGTCGGTTTAGATTGGGCACAACGCCTCTTCAGGCCGTGTATGTGTGGCAGGCGTGCAGCCAAACTGCTGTTTCATGCATATTCACACGCATGTGGTAGTCCGCACGAGTGTTGCACTTTTGAGCAGACCTGTAAAATCCCGAAAACGCCCTCATCTAAACCTCCTATCTTAGGAGGGGTGATATATCAGAAGGGCTGCATTTAGAACCAATATGGCATGAGCTCTTGGCCGCCAGTTGACCCAAGCCTTGTTGTATAGATCAACGCAGGTGGAGCTGGGAAATGAATGGTGGCATTCGTAGGTACCTCCTTACGACGCCACCGCCTATCGTATCCCAACCAAAAAAGCAATATGGTTTGCCTAATCTCGCTTTTTATGTTCATCATTTGCTAAAAAAAAAATAGGTGATGATGTTCTATCTTGACATTAGGAACTGCTTCTGGAGTCAGAATCGGCAAAAAATGGAACTATCCGATCGGATAGACCCTAGTCATTTCGATCTGCCCCGTACTGGAATCGAACCAGTGATCTTATCATTACTAGTGATACGCTTTACCACTGAGCCAACGGGGCTTCTGATCGTTGATTGGATGGCTTGGTGGTAAATTTACTCATATTGACTATCGAGCGTTTTGCGACCTAGTCAGGTGTTTGAGAAACTGGCGAGGAGCATTCAATGAACCCTTAATAAGAATTTATATATTTTGGCACTTCAAAATGGTAAAATAATGCTATCAGTGATCAGAATATTACTGGCTGAGCCCGTGTCCTCTATGCTCTGCTTCCAACGCTGATCTGAGAGCTTGGATGTTTTAATTAAGGTGTTTAGTATGAATCAATAGATGAAGAAGTCTTGACCTTAATTAAAGCTTGGAACATTGCTAAGATTCTAAGGAACTCGGTCTTTATAATATAACAATGTCCCATGCGGGGTACAAATTTATATTCAAGAGAAGAATAAACTCCTCGACAGGATCTCGAACGAAATAAACATATCACATGGGACAAACTCCAGCACAACAAGTAGATTAAGTAGTATGAATTCAAGATCGGCTCTGATACAAAAGGTAATATTTATCACGTCTCAGCCTCGAGAGCATCCGCCATCTGGCCAAGCGTATCGAACTTCCAGTCATAAATCTCATCCGCGCGGTTACCCATCACCGCACCAGGGCGCACAATCCAGCTCGACTTGATGCCCATCTTCTTCGCGGGCTGGTGGTCGTGGAACTGGCTCTGCGCGGTCTGTATAATCTGGTTCTTCTCGAAGCTGAGCTTGCTCTTGACCTGTTCAAACATGTACTCGAAGTTGCGCAGGTCGGGCTTGTAGCTACCGACGTCCTGGGCAGTGATGATCAAATCAAAGGGAACGCCCTGCAGAGGGCCAGAATTGGTTCTGGAGAAAGAGGCGCGGTCCACGTTGGAAAGAATGACGAGCTTGAAGTGCTTCGAGAGACGGCGCAGGGCGTCGACGGAGTCTGGGAAAGCGGGCCACTCGCCTACAGTCTTGCCATAGGCAATTGACTGCTCGTCTGTAGGCTGGGGGAGACCGAGTTTTGTGGCGATCTGAGGGAGGATCTTGGCAATTAGGGCATCGTAGGTCAGGTCTGGGGTGGCTGCTTGCTGAGCAGCCTCGGCCTCATGGTAGACTGTCAGAAGCTTCTCTCGAGAGAACGAGTCGGCTGCATTGTGTGAGGCAAGGAATGGTTGGATTCCAGCCAAGACGCCAGCTTCCCAATCGACTATCGTGCCGAAGCAGTCGAAGGTGAGGACTTTGTAGTCGGTAAGCTTGGCCATTTTCTTTATGCTAATATTCCCTTTGGATAGTGAACTTGATATGAATAGAAAATAAGGATGCTGTAGGTCGACTTTCTTCGAGCTTTTATTTTCTGGTTAGATTATACTAGACAGAAAGCAGCTGAATGTGGTTGTTTTGTGTACTTGAGTTGTATGGACCAGATTGTTAGCTCGTTCTCGATTCTCTCGTCTTCTTATTATATCATGTTTATGGACCTATGGTGAAGTAATAGCTTGAAGAGGTTACTTTCGGGTTAGAAATATAGTTGAGGTGGGGGATCGCCGGCTGCGATGCCGATTCCGGAGCCGGACCGGTGTGCAGGCGCGGACGACCGAGATTTCTCTCCAATTCAAATTGTGGTTTAAACGGAACAAGATCAAAGTCAAACCAGCAATTGGACCTCCATATCAAGTTCTCTACTTAATTTAAGACTCAGTCTGGTTCTAGCAGAGCATCAAGATGGTGAATAAGTTGAGGATACCGATTCCGGAGCCGGGCCGGACTGCTGACGACAAAACACAGTTCGTTATCTATTATCATGAAGTTTACCAGTAGATAGATCTCATTCTAGGCCCTGTCGATTTACTAAAACTTAGTCTTATCACCCGACCCCAGGAACTCGGTATTAGCGGCTTAAGGCCCGGAACTTATTTTCAAAGACCTATGAAAGGTGAGAAATGCCATTTTTAGGGCGTAGAGATAAACGAGCAAACGGCCACCATCGGCATTGTGTGAACATGGGTTGAATCATGATGCAATCAGACCAACGGCATGGGGCCACATTGACAACTAAATCTCTTTTGGGAGCAATTATACTTGATGTAGACTGTAAGACAGAGCGCGCCTTCTGAAAACACATACCTTCCAGTTTCCAGAGTGTCATTGATAAAGAAGTGGCCACCGGACCGGACATGTGAGCTAGCGAGTCGCAGGCCATCGTAGAAAGGGCGTGTTAATTAGAACTTTGCTGCCTCCAATAGCTTGGGATAAGGAAGGCCACGCGACTTTCAGTCGGTCATTGGAATCAGTGAAACGACAAGTAATAATTATACATGAGAGTGATCGGACTATTTCTAATTGTGATCTAAAATATATAGTGAGGGGGAAAATGACAGTAGTGAAGGATATGAAAAGGGCGAGAGCTCTCTTCTTACGAAAGCTCCTTATATGTTGGAAGTTTCCAACTTGATCCATACTCAGGTATGTCGAAAGAGTTGATCCCCAGGAAGGAGGCCGCACTCAAGATAAAGTTGGCAATGGAGACCCCCCACGAAGATGAAGGCATAGACTTGAAAACGTTCTTCTCGGGAAGACCTTTTTGAACGTCATTTATCATCGGGTGAAATGTTTCCTGATAAGCTTCCAGGGCTCTCGGAATGCCATCGCCGTTACCATGCTGACCCACGCCGCAGTGTTTTCCAATCTCGCCAGCTAGGACATAGGCTCCCACCATTGCAGATGTAGTTCCCATCCCAGTTGCCACTGACGAACAAAATGCTGCATCTCCCACCAGAGAAACCCGCCCCTGAGACCAAGATGGAAGCTTCACGACACCCAGCTCTTGGTAACTAAAGTTTTCGGTTGTCTTCAAATGACTTGAGATACTCCTTGCTTCCCACCCAGCATCCTGGAAGATCTCCTCGAACGCAGCCTTCTCCTCTTCCACACCTTTTAGATGAGCATTCTTGAGACGGTCCGAATCAGTTTGGCAGAACAGATACACCTGAAGTTCATCTGCGTTGGCTCTCCTGGTCATAATGGCTCTCTTTCTGGGGGCCATGTATGTCGTCGCAACATATTCTTCACCTTTCTGAATTGGTCGGGGTATAGTAAAATAGGCCGCAAAGGTACCGCCAAGAGGATAGAAGCGGTCTGATGCGCCAGTACCAAGCATCATCTTGCGCAAACGAGAGTTCTGGCCATCGGCCCCGACGACGAGATCAAATTTGTCGGACTTCCCATCTGAGAAGTTCACGTGGACTGCATTCTTGTCTTGCTGGAAGTCTTGGATTGATTTCCCAAAAACAAACTTGGTCTGGTTCTTCACGGCTGCATCGTGGAGCATACGACACAAGTCTCCTCTCATGATCTCGAAATCAGTCGTGAGAGAGTTTGAATTCGCAGGGTTTGCGGGGAAGGTTGCCCTTCGTCTCCCTATGCTGTCAACGACCATAATCCCCTGCTCTGGGGCTTTCTTAGAGCGGTATTCTTGCTCGAGGCCCATGCGCTTCAGCACCTCGACGCCGTGGCCCCTCAAGTCCACCTGGAGTCCAGTGGCTCGTAAGCAGGGAAATCTTTCTACGACCGTGATGTCGTGGCCGATTTTAGATAGCCAGTAGGCGAGAGCGTTGCCAGCAATCCCACCGCCGGCGATGAGTACCTTGAGCTGTGCCATTAGGGAATTGGTTTTTAGGATTGTCGTCGTCGTCTGAATGATAATTAAGGAGGAAAGGGATTTTCTTGGCTTGATACAGAAATATTTCCCGATTGACCTTGGAATGGGCGGACTTATAAAGCGAGATGTTGGCATGTGCAGGTCTTTATGTCCGTCGACTTCGGCCGACAGACTGACGGACTAACGGACTCAACACTTCGGCCGAAGTAAAACGGCATCTTCGCTAAAGGTGGTTGCCATTGCCAATTTGATTAAGAAATTGGGCTAAAATTTTGAATGACTCGAAGCACTATTCTACCTTTTGGATTGTCTTTATTTCCGTCCAGTTTGCTCAGTCGCGTAGTGGTGGGTTTGGTCGATTATTTTTTGGTATAGCGAGTTGTACTCATTTTGGTCACTCGGGATCTCCCGAAGAATTCAGGTAGTAAATTGTTGCTTTAAAGAATTGAATAGAAGATAAAAGAATTGAGAAAAGGAAATCGGTGCAAATTAGAGGTGTCTGTTGCGAACGGTTTGCTCTTCACTTATTTTTCTATTACTAACTGTAAGAGAGGCATATCCGGCTACGTTTGGAATTCCTCCCGTGCGCACAATTTCATATTAAACCTATAGGATAAGGATTAGGGATTCGGGTTGAATAGAAGAAGGATATTCGTCGAACTTAAATTATCCCTTGAACTTCTTAAGTTGACTACATAACCTAGGTTGTACTATGTGACGCGCTGTCTTTAAGAGCTTATGCCGAGCCGCCTATCATAATTCTCTTGGGAGTTCCAGGTTAAATGTTTCGCGGTTTGCTCTCCGCGCAGGCTAGAGCGGAATGAGCCGAACGATACTCTAACTATGCGCAGATATGCCATGTTATTCGTGCAAGGCGCAGACAGGTGTGGATATGGAAACACACTATCCGCTCAACTAAATGACAAGGGTAATGCGATATGGCATTGTAATAAGCAGGTTGTGACATGCATGCATGATTGGTAATGACAAGACCACTGAGAGCCAACAAGTTTTAGACGACTTAGGAAGGATATGACGAATAACCAGGCCATTTCCTATAGGTCCAATATTATGTGTGTGAGTGCGCCATGCAGAAAATGTCTCCGTGCATGGGGTTACATGGCCCTAAAGCAAGAAGTATGCAGGAAAACATGTTCAATGAATTGCATGCAGTTCAATCCAACGCTACCTAGGTAGGACTTGACGGTTCGCCATCCGATACGTAGAACGGTGGGAGTGAGGTGCTTGGAATCTAACCACAAAGTGGAGGTAGTCTCGTCCGCTATAGAGCAATGAGCGAATAAACGATGCACGGGAGCGTCTAGAATATGTATGAACACCTCATACTTACATAAATAGCGAGAACCGAACAGCGTAGATCCAATGGCTAGTGGGCTCAACGGAGTGGCCAAACCGGGGAAGCATCGGGGCAGGGGGGGTGAAAAATGGAGAAAAGCCGCTTTTGAGCACCTATCCCCGTCATTTACGTGGCGTGGTCAGCAGTTCACATGCCCCGGAAACTCAGACGAGTTTTGAGAATGTTCAAGAGGGGGTTGTCTTGGCATTTTGGAGTGATAAGCTCGCGGCCTGTCGAAATTGAGTTTTCTCCTCAAACACATCTACCCGTCCCTCAAACCGGGTCCCTTCACCTCCATTTCCCCACCAAAAAGGAAAGGCAAAGGGATAATCGTGATGATGAAACACTGTTAGGGTAGCCATCTGATCCGAAATCCCTTTGAAACTATCTCCAGTCCCAACCACACGTCTTCCCGTTGCTAGCGAACCTCGGCTCTCCATTAAACCCTCGACACACAGGAGGTTAAAACCTACTAACAATTATCATGGGTTCGCCCCCACGTCAATCGCCTGGGGCTTCAACTACCCCTGCGGCGGCGGTAACCTCTACGCAGATAGAGGGAGAGGATATTCTTGTGTGTATGAGGCTCGGCTATCATAGTCAGCTAACTGCTGACAGGTGTCTAGGAAGCTGACGAGGGCAACGATGCCAGTGATGCTGATTCGGCAATTGGTTCCGTGGGTGAAACTCTGGCTGTATGTCGCAACTTCAATACTAATCCAAGCAAAAAAGTCGCCGGAAGTAGCCTCACGTCACTCCGCTCGAGCGTGTTGAGATACCAGGAGGAGAATGGCAGAACCTACCATGCTATGAGCTCCGGAAGTTAGTTCGCCAGCATTGTTCGACCTGACCGCTCATTTTCTAACCAGATTTTACCGCTTTGATTAGAATATAACTATCCCAATGACGAGGATGAGAGTAAACGACTTGGTGAGCAAAGGAATGGTTCCGTGGATATTAGGATCCTCAATTAATAGAAGCCTGCAAGATCTTCAGCACAATCTTTGGCTGTTTACACTCCGTGGAGAATTAGGACTTTGTCCCAAGATCCAGAACGGTCCAGCTAAGCGAGTTCTAGATGCCGGGACTGGAACAGGCATTTGGGCGATTGAATATGGTGCGTTGAGATACTCGAGACTAAGAACTGCTTGTATTCGCTGACAGTCGATGCACTAATAAAGCCGATGTGTATCCTGAATCAGAGGTATGCGGCCTCTTAACAGATTTCGCTTTATCTATGTAACCCAGCTTCTCCGATTAACCAATTATCGAAACAGGTCATCGGTGTTGATCTCAGCCCTATCCAACCCACTCTGTATGGCTCTACTCCCCGGTTTACCCTCTCCACCTCAAAAATGAGCCAAGATTAGCTGACCATCAAATCAACGAGAAGAACCCCGCCAAACTGCAGTTTCGAGGTCGACGATCTGGAAAAAGAGTGGACCTGGACGCGGCCATTCGACTTGATCTTCGCTCGGGTGCTCACAGCATGCTTCGAAGAAATGCAAAGCTTCGTCAACAAGTCATTCGAGTGAGTTTACTACACTCAACCCTCTCTCACGCCAAGACTAACACAATCCAGAAATCTCGAACCTGGAGGCTATCTCGAGATGCAAGATCTGACCCATCCTCTCGGCTGCGATGACGGCTCCTTGGATCTTGAAACCCCGCTGGGCCAATTCGGCCCACTGGTCATCAAAGCCTGCAATTTAGCTGGGCGCCCCATCGACATTGCCCCGAAGTATGGGGAATTTATGGAGAAGGCTGGATTCGTAGATATCGTCCACAGGCAATACAAGTGGCCTACCAATTCCTGGCCCAAGGACAAACATTACAAGGATATCGGGGCCTGGTCCTTTGAGAACTTGAACAGCGGACTCGACGGCTTGCTGCTTGCCCTCTTTACCAGGCATCTGGGCTGGTCCGTGGAGGAGGTTACGGTATTCTGTGCGCAGGCACGAAAGCAGCTTCGGGATACCAAAGTTCATGCCTATATCCCCATGTGAGTCACGACTACTTGCTTCGAATAGTTATATGTTGCACATACACTCTATGGTAACTGACATGATTTCTGTTAGACACATTTGGTATGGCCGGAAGCCAGAAGACTCGTAAGAACGGATGCCGCCGGCTTAACCCAAGATTATATGCAAATGCAATTAGCCTAGCTTTGAAGTTTGATATTTCCTATTTTAATGAAGTCTCTTGTTCTGAGAATTTTATTTTTCGGTGACAGACAGACTTAAGCGAGCCTCTTCTAACGACGCCTCGCGCTGGGTTGTACTCTAAGCCTGATGTCTCCTGGGAAAAAATTCTTTTGAAAACTCCCATTTTCTTTTTTCCTTTTTTTCTCCCCTTTTTCGACGTGAAAATACATTTTCTCTTTTTGTTTTCACATTTACGACCACAAGAATGATAAACCCTGGAAAAATCCGACGATATTATGTGAAACCTCAAGACTCTACATTGGATTGCATGCAGGACCAATGAGAACACTAGGCGATCAGCTGTCCCGAGATGGACAAATGATCTACAGGGGCATGGGTGGGTAATGGATGGCCTGCTTGGGGGGCTCAGAACTTCAGTCACACGGGCCAACCAGGCAAAACGAAAATGGCTTGCCATTGCGAATTGTTCAGTGCATCATTGCTAAATATAAACACCTGTATCTGGCTCCTCTGCGACGTTGGCCGGTTCGGCATGTATGGCCACCAGATTCTGAGGCTTGTGCAGTTTCAGCAAGTCGGGGGCGCCGCCTCAACGATCATGGTCCCCGGAGTAATTAATTATAACGGGATACAGGGGAGATCGGGCATTTAGAGGCTCCAAGGTAGGTACCTATGAATCGAACCAAGCTGTTAGCTGGTGGTCGGAGCGGTCTCCGAGCTGTACGCTCAGCTGCCTGCGCACATGCTGGAGAATCTTGGCGACGCTGGCATCCAGTTCGTCATGTGGCACTGAGACATGGTCTCGTCAGCCAGGTAAGACACACTGATTGAGAAAGACGATTTGGCTGAGAAGAGATTTGACAAAACAATTACTGGCAGGGAAGTGGGAGGCGAACATCTATTTTCTGGCCCTATATCAGACCCCTGGGAGATAGTGGACTGCCCCCCAGGCACAGCACGGAACCGGCACCGAAGCTCCTTCCAAAAGCTGGTGCTTCGGCTCCAAACCGCTGAAGTTCTCCCGCAAGGCCCCCCTGCAGTAGTGAAATTAGTAGCCCCTTCTCACCCGGCACATAAGTTCTTCAATCGGCAGCGCCAAATTAATTTGCCAAGACGCTGTAAATTGGTAGGAGCTTTGAAGACGTCAAACTTCATCACAGACACATGAGTGGACACAATCATGGGGAAATGCAGATGCGAGTAACAGTTGAATTAAGACTATGGTATCATTTTTAGTTTAGTATTCCCGCTTAAATCTCATGCAATCCAACGATCTATTGGGTAAGAAACGCGCTCTGCGCTTAGAGGAGGGCAACGGCAACAACACCAGCGAAGGCGGCGGCACCGACAATGGTGGCAGTCTGGCGGGAGCCAGCGCCCTTGCTGTCATCCTTGCTGCTGTTGGTGGTGTTGGTGCTGGTGTTGTTCTTGCTGTCGTCGCTGCTGGAGCCGCCGGTCTGGGAGGGCCAGCTGAGGCTGGAGCAGGAGGTCTGCTCGAGCACGCTGCTGTCGAAGGTGAGGCCGGACATGAGGCTCGAGATGTCGTCCGAGCAGGCCGACACGAGGTTGCTGATGTCGGTGATGTGCTCCTTGTGCCAGCTGGAGAACTGGGACCAGTAGGAGCTGTACTCGGAGGCGAGGGTGCCGGTGACGGCGGGGATCTCGCACGACTTGGTGGCGGAGCCGGTCACGGTGAGGACGTTGGTGTTGGCGGGAGTGGGAATGTCGATCAGGCCAGGACCGTACTTGATGGCAGCGCTGGCACAGGCGGCCGAGTCACGCTCGTTCAGGACGGCAGTGGGAGCGGGAGGCTGGGCAGCAGCGGCGGCGCCAGAGACGGCGGCGGCCAGGATGGTCATCTTGTTGAAGAGCATTTTGACGGTTGGATTAGAAGTGAGGTAGAGACTGGTGGGAATCTGGAAAGAATGAAAGTCTTGAGTTACTCGAGTGAACAGAGAATGAAAGTCTGGCTGTCTGGTCTGAAATCAAGTCGTCACAAGGGGCGTGGGGGAGAACCTCCTTTAATACCCATCCATTGGCCTGGGGGTGATGTTGATCGTATTTCATCAAACGATACGCAGACAGGGGAAATTGCCCACCGTACGCCACAAGAATATCACCACTTGAAGGAGCACTGCCAAGAGCGTGAGGGTAATCACTCTCTGCCTTGTGGGACTAGCACACTCGCTGGGGTGTTTTGAGTTAGTCTTGATGTAGCAGTAGGCACACAGGATTCATGCGTTTGCTCAGGAGCTGAATGCTGACACAGGCTAACAAACTAGCCAAGCCAACTCACGGCGGCCAACAGCCGCCACAAAAGCATATTCAGGGGGCAGCCGCCGCCGAGGTCAGCCTTAGTGGGTTGGTCAATTAGATGTTGCCCCATGGCTGACCACATCCTCGACCTGATTGGGAGGTTTGGATCAGAAAGCCAACGCTGCCCCATTCGTTTCACATTTTTGTGAAGCAGGCCTGACGCCAACGGCTCAGCATCTCCACATAATTTACGCTCCTGAGGGAATCATGTTCGAGAAAGGGTGCTACTTAGCTGGTTGGCTAGTGTTCAAGCATAACCGAGCCTGGCTGATGAGCATAAGCTAGGCCAACTGCTACGTTGGGGCCAACCCACATGAGACTGAAAATTGTTACTATCTTTGGTAGAATCGACGTAAATACCACCCGTTCAGTTCAGCCAGTCTGCTTAGGTTTGACCTTGGCCCTGGCCATAAGGCGATCCTTGCTGGTCCCTTTCAGAGGCAAATTAAACAGTACAGGCCCAAGAGCTACTAAGATACTAGTGCTGTAGAGATAAGAAGCGGCGCCTGGGCACGCCCTACATGACGCATTGATCAAAAGCAGACTCGAGACAGAGAGGGCATTGCATTATGGGGAAATTTTGTCGAGCCCAGACTGCCCACTTATTGTTGCCGTAAACCGGCAGCCTTGTTAACCGCCTTTGGCTTCTCACCCATTAAATTATGCAGCACCTGCAGGCGGCTGAACGCAAGGAGCTCTCTTTGCTTTCATGTTTCTCTTCCCACTGCGCTCTTTACGCGTTAGACATTTACGTTCATGGCTGAATTGTCTTCCCCCAAAACCCAGATTGAAGTCCTTTCCGCAAAAGGACAAAAGGATTATATCAAAGTCAACAAAGCCACTTGGAGGATGCACCTACACATGTGGATCCAAACAGCCGCTCGATCGACAACGAATGATTCCAGCACCCGTTTAATCCCAGCAACAAGCTATGCATAATTACATAAGTGTTTGATCTAGGTTTGACACTATGTAACACGGCCAAGAAATGCCAATTTCCTTCCCCGCTGCTTGAGTTGTGATTTGCAGATCATGTCTGCGTTCGTATGTTTGGGAAGGTCGGGGGAAGCAATATAACACTGAGGTCTTTGTGTTTCTAACATCTCTTGGAAAGAAAGAGGAAAGAGAAGTTTGCGACTGATGACCTAAAAACTTGATCGGTACTCACACTGAATCAGAAAATTATACACTCCATAAGCACAAGGCAAAAGAACTTCTGTTGTGCTAGGCTTACGTTGGTTGGCTTTGAAGTAAACCAGGGCTTCAAACGAAGTGCTTACGTAGGAAGGCATTAAGTGCTCGTTGGTCCAGGACTTCCCGCCTTTTCGGCTTGCTGACGGTTGGTGGCTGCGAGGGCTGACATTACATGAAGGCCTAGACCAGCTTGGTACCCTGGATTGTCCCCATATCAGCCGCTTTGCGCCCGGCTGGGCAAATATTACTCCCTGTTGAGAGCGCGGTAGCGAGCTAGCTAGTTAAAGGTATATTTTTGGCGGGTTGCATCTGATTTGATATATCACAATGAAGTTGGCTCATTAGCCCCGAAGACCAACAAGCTCTTCTACACTGATGGGTTTTGTAGTGTAAAGCGATGATGGTCGTACTTAAGCTATTAGTCTTTTTTATTCACGATGATCGTTAAAAACGAACCATACAAGAGAGAATATAATGCCGATTGAGCTTGCTGAGAGATTGGAGGTTGTGGCGCCAAGCCGCAGCATCTTGCCTTTCTGGAATCAGCTGTAGGTTAGGCACATGGGGGTTAACCAAGCCCTCCTAGTTGCGTACTTGTACTCGGATAGATATCATGTATAAAGTTGAATGTATCTATAGCGAGAAGGGGATAAAAATGTAATTTTACATCCCAGGAACTAATATCAGAATATATAGGGGAAAAGGGGTTCCATTGTTTCTGATGTTGTGTGCCCAAGTCCCTATCGTAGCCATGTGCTCTTTTTCTGAATACTAATATCTTCTCTTACGGTGTCGATTCCTTTTGAGCTGTCGTAGCCTGGACCCTTGGCATGTCTCTCTAGCGCAGTCTCCAAGACCAAAAATGGTGCCTAGTGAGCGTGCAAATCCAGGAGACTGCACACTGCCTCCTTATTTCCACCGACTAGCCCATGTATTGATTTTATGCTTTCCTCAAAGCACGCTCTCCGTATTTTGGCACTCTAGAATAGCCCCTAGATTATGTCGTGTATTGACCATGAGAAAAGAGTTTGGATTTTCCAATGCCTATTCACAAACGAGACAAATGCTCCAAGTCCATGGGTTTCCACTGACCGAAAGCAAGTTTCCTCAATTGCCCTAGCGACTTAGCTGAGAATCTCTTGAGCATTTCTTTGGAATTAACGTCCATGAATCGAAATATACTTGTTGGAAAAAGGACTTCGCTTGCATCCAAATACATTCCTCCCTTATCATAAAACCATTACAGTAAATGTCGACAGCGCCAAAGTATGACATTGAAGGTAGAGCTTCTAAGTTTTGCCTGATCCTCTAAAATAGCAGTTGATCATGTAAGCGAACGAAGGGTTTGATATAGAGTTCCCGTGAGCCAAACGACGCACTTGCGAAATATTGGTAATGGGTTTCAGCGATCCAGGACGAGTTGAGCTATTGCTAAGTTTTCCACGTCGCAGGTAAACTCCAAGAAAACGTTCCCAGGAACCAGACTGCGAGATATATGTTGGAAGGCTATTCTCCACTCCTCAACGATATTTCCTGACGGGCCATGACTGGAAATAATATTAGGTTCCGAGGTCGTGGTACGTGGGCAATCGTTGGTCAGCAGGCTCGCATAATCGTGGCCGCGAATGCATAGCTAACTAGTTGGGCGGATCAGGAGATGGCGAATTAGTCGAAGTCCCCCAATGGGAGCTGATTTCAAAACATCTAGATCTTCGGTGTACTGATGTACACAAACGAAGGATTTGTTCTCGCTATCTAGGACCTCTTTTGCCTCCTTATGGACTAACAATAGTTGCTTACCTAGACATGTCGGGATACATGGAATGCGGACTATGACCGTGTATGATACTATAAGACACGCGCCCATGACGAAACTTGTTTGAACAGCTAAGTTAACTAGAGGGCCGCAATGGAGGGAGACTGACTACATAGTAAGCATACCAATTTCGTTAGTTAGGATAGAAAGGAGAGAAGTGAGAGGGCAAAGAGGGTAAATCCATTGTCTTGAAATATTTTTGTAGAAAGACTGATTAAAGCCATAAAGCTACACAGAAACGATGGAGAGTAAATTGCTGGAACAGGTACCCTATAGTGCTAGTTGTTAATAGACAGCTTTATAGAACCAATTAATAAGTCCACGACTAATAAGGAGTCGAGTTTAGAGCATCAGGTTCTTGAGTCGAATCCAAAATTTCGGGTTCTTCTTCCAGCCAATTCAATATACGGAAAAGTAATGTCCAATCTTGTCAAGTGTAGTCCTAAAGAAGATAAAGCCAGTCTCTGCAAAATGAATGTCTGTTGCGCATGGGAGCTACTTCTCTATTCGAGCTAGCAATTCCTGGTGTCAATATGCATGGAAATATTTATCGGAACAAAGAAGCAGCGGAGGTCGTAGCGACTTTTCCTAGAATTGTCAAATTGCAGGATGTGTACTTGTTACTCCAGAGGGCGTGAAGCTGGCTTTCGCAGTAGATCTAGGGAGGAATGATGGATGTGCATGCAGTCCTCTGAAAACACAACTATTTAACTGAGGCAGAGCTTGATAACCAAGGGGAATAAAGCTTACACATCTTGTTCTAAGCATAATTTCCCCTTTGTGCTGGGACTTTATACGTATCGAGGTACGTGTAGGTACACGCAGCTAGTCCGCTAACCCCTGTCATGTCACGCGACTCATCCATGCTAACGGGAGAACTCCATGGTGACGATCATGATCCGGCGCGTCCCTAAAAGGGGAGACTCCATGGGTCCACCTACAGTCATGCCAGCCAGGAAAGTTCTCTTTCGTGGCATAGGCAATCCAACTCCAAGTAAACGTGGGGTATCAAGCATTGAGTACATATAGCATAACGTGTAGAACTTGGGTGGTGTTGAACGGTTCAATATCAACCGAGCTGGCCGTCGGTCTTTTGGTCGAGGAATTGGGGCGCTGTCGACGACGGTACAGCCCCCCTCCACTTAAATGATTATTACTTTGTTTTAAGAATAGAAATGGACTTCAGTGTGCTTACTCTGTGAAAGCATTGGTAACTTTGCTTTCGTGTTTCATGCGTCATCGCTATAATCATTCAAAACCAACGTCCCCCCAAACCGGCGCTTTTCCTCTCTTCATGCCAAGCTTGACGCCAAGCTCATCGTCGATCTACCCGCATCCGATGCAGAACAGACTCCATTGCGACCTTCGACTGAGGTCCTGTCGAAAAACGACCCTTCTTTTGGCCCTTGCATTATTTGCTGTCACGACTACCGTCCTTTTATGTGGTACAGGGAGCTCGAATTCGAACACGCGGCCTGCCGAGGCCTCCGATATCACAAAACAGACATTTGCTCCATGCACCAGTAAGACAGAGGCATGGAGGACAATTCAATCTAAATATGATACATTGATCGAGGACAAGTTTACGTGCGTTATACACTGCCCTTGCCCTTTTATCTTTCCCCAATTGCTCACCGTGTCGTCAAATATCTAGAGTCGCCTTGTCCACCTTCCATCGACCCAAGGAATTGAAACGCATTCTCGGCATCCTCCTCTCCGACCCTATCCCCTCCCTCCTCGAAGTCGTCGTGATCTGGAACAACTTTGGCGAAGAACCACCCGTCGCTTACGATTCTGAACATGGCGTCAAGGTTCGATACCGCATCCCTCCGCGAGACAGCCTGAATGAGAAGCTCTGGCCGGATCCCGAATATCGCACCCAGGCTGTTCTTTTGTCAGACGATGACGTTTACTACCGAGCCGAGGATCTGGAATTCGTCTTTCAGAGCTGGCGGAAGTTCGGAAAGGACAGAATGACGGGCGCTTTGGCGAGGTGCGCGACCCCGGATAACAACGGGCAGTGGGAATACACATTTTGCACAGGCCACAGCATCGATAATTACTCCATCATCCTGTCGAACCTGGCCTTTGCTCACATTGGATTGCTCGACTATTACTTCTCCGACGATCCGGCCATGACCGCGGTCCGCAATCTGGTCGACGACAAATTCAACTGCGAGGACATCGCGCTCAACTTCGCCGCGTCGCTGCTCACGGGCTCGGGGCCTCTGCTCGTTCAGGGGCGGGACCAGTACGTCAACCTGGACCCGTCCACTGGCATCAGCAGGAACTCGGGGCACATGGAGGCGAGGAGCCAGTGCCTCAACGACTTTGCCCAGGCGTTCCAGTGCATGCTCCTGGTTGACGAGTCAGCACGGATAGAGCGCGGGTACAAGTTCAACGTGTGGTACAAGTCGCTCTGGGACCGGCTTACGTATCGATGAGCTAGGGAGCCAGTGGAAATGGAAACCGCGTCGATCTAAATATACGGATTACGTACCCTCATGAGACCACGAACTCATAGCGCATGAGCCGGGACGCCCACCTTTCCGGGCTGAGAACCCTGCTTCAAAAATTACCCCTGTTGAGATAATGTACATGCTACTCTTTAATTTCCCTGATTGCTTCTGGCTGATAACATCCATTCTCTCTCAATGCCTGGATAGCTATACTATTTTTTTTTTCTTTTTTTTTTTTGGGATGTGAAATCGCGCTATCAATGGGAATGACCCAGCATAGCAAGGGGATAGCTATCTGCAGTCAAGTTGGGATTGCTCCCGTGTGACTTGGTAGGACCAAAGGTGTATAAGAGGCAAAGATATGTTTCTCTCAGATGGACAAAATTTAGAGATAAATTGATAACCTCACTGACCCATAATAAATCCTCGAATTTATCCAATCCTACGATTATATCTCTACCTCCCGCTTGCAACGCCCGTTCTTATTCTCATTTAACCAAGCACTCCGAGACTATTTTCTACAAGACAATCTCTGTTGAAGGCGAGTTTGAGACTCTTGGTTCGGTAACCTGATGATTCGAGGATCAATAATCGATAATCTTAGTGCTATTAGAGGTTTTGGATCCCTGAAATAGGCTCTAGTACGCAGCCTACGGCTGTTTAGCATTTGTGCTACATATACTGGGTAATCACATCTCTTCAAGAACTTGAACCCCTTCTAGAATAGGAATACAATGGATAACTGTATCGTACCATTAATTAAGAAAGCATAGCCATCTTAGTTTGATCTGCACCTATGCCGTCGACGGGAACTTGACCCAACCTGGAGCGACACCATTCTATGATCAGAACTTTGGATTTTAAGCTAGGAGATCGATGAAAAGGAGGGCAGATCCCGAATCTAAGGCCAAGATAGAGTTTATTATATTGTTTCTCCACGTCCAACTCCCATTTATGATGACGCGGCGTTATCAAAACCTCACCTTTTGATTCCAACTCTTCCTCGCTTCCGAAATGGTAACTGGACATCAATGCGACTACTCAATATACCTGGGGTAGAACTGGATTTTGAGCTGTCACATAATCCTCTGCGACAGCTAGGAACCTAATTTGTGGTACACCCGATTCATCGAAGTTTTATCCCTGAAGCCATTGATCAAGTCGAATTCGAAGGGAATCTAGTCCTGCCGAAAATCGCCATATTCGAGTGGTGCATCTCACAAATTGACCTTGAAATCATGATTTACAATCTCATCACTCATGAACAAGATTCGAAGGAACCACCACAGATGAGGCGAAGTGGCTACTATTGATGAGCAGAGAATGGTAGGCCGGTTTCGCGGCATGATAATTTCGGAAGAAACATTAGTGAAACAGTAAAATTGAGGATTTTCGCATGTTGATTGCTTTTTGTCTTGGCGCTGTGCCTGCATCTGGAGTTCCGTATTTGCTTGAATTATTCCGGCATAAGCGCATGAACGCGGGCGAAGCCACTGCATAACTTTGAATACTGTGTAACACCGAGTCCGCCACACCTCACACCAGGGTCTGCGCCATGGTGTAACCAAAAGAGGTGTATTGTTGCTTTTGAGCCCACATTGCCATGGCAGCTCATGCGTGAGAATGACTGGTGCTCTGCAGGCGGTGACCCCGCCTGTTGATGACAAGAAGGTTACCTAGGTAATATTATCTCACTCCACCCTCCGCCCAGTTCTCGCTTTCCTGACACTGTCCCTTCAATCTGCAAAGATCATAGCAAGATCGCGAACATGGCAGAATGGCGTCGGGAATACATCGCTGCGGAGAGCGATCGCTTCGCGGTGGGAATCTCGGAGCTGCTTCCCGCTCTCGAAGCCGACCAGCTTGATACCGACGCGATTGAACGCCGCGTCCAACAGCTGGCCGATGGGGCCAGTATTTCAAAGGGATTTTGCGCAAGCTGCCGCAATCTATTCACTCACTGGCCTGCCCTCGACGAAAAGGAATGGGACTCCGCCGTTCTGAGATACTTCGACACGGAGGAGGTAGAAGCCTTCTCCCGCGCCGGATGCAAGTTCTGCGCCTTCATCATGGGCAGGTTCCAGCACCACGAAGGACTCCTTGATAGATTCCGCAAGATTGAGGCAAGGCTCTCTGTGGGGAACGCCTCTGCCAAGTGTTCATTGGCTGTTCAGAATATCGGCGAGGGCATCGGAGAGGACGCGACGAGCCAGGCGCTCTGGGTGAACATGCCTGGAAAAGAAGTCTCACATTGTAACTACGCTTGTGACCAAGAGCTGGCTGATTTTGTATCCGAGATTCTTCCCAAAGATGGTCAGTCGAGCGGTTTCATTCTCCAAGTTCCCTATTGAGATGACGAGGCACTGACATGATGATAACATAGCGACACTTTGGGACGGAGATATTGAGTCCTTGGACCTTGTCAAAACGTGGCTCTCTGATTGCGATGAGTCTCACAAAAAGGAGTGCAGCAGCCGCAAGCCGCTAGATGGGCCAGGCCGGCTTATTTTGATTGAAGACGACTCGGTCAAGTTGGTCGAGACGGCATCGCTAGACAGCCTTCCCCAGTACGCTACTCTGACGTACTGCTGGGGAAAAGTCCCCTTTCTCAAACTGACACGAGATACATACGCCGAGTTTCTGGCCGGTATTTCGCTTGACCGCCTGCCACAGACATTCCAAGACGCCATCATAGTTGCAAGACGCCTGGGACTATCGCACATCTGGATCGATGCCCTCTGTATTATACAAGAGGAGCCTGGCAACAAGGACTGGCTGAAAGAATCAGGCCTAATGAGGTCAGTGTACGGGGGTTCGCATGTCACCCTTGCAGCAAGTTCGGCGACCGAAGTCAGTCAAGGCTTCCTATCATCTGCCTTGTCTCCCAAGTATCAAGGTGGCTTCTATGCGCAGGTATCCAGTCAGAAGTACACCCGAAAGCAGAACTTTCATAGCGCTGCAGTGTTTTTCGAATCTCTTCTGCAGACCCCCCTGGCTAGGCGTGCCTGGGCTATGCAGGAGAGGCTTCTTTCGCGCCGCACCGTCTTGTTCAGTGAATACGGCGTCTTTTGGCAGTGCCATTCTACATCCCGATCCGAATTTATCCCCGGCGGGTTTAGTGGACATCCAGGACCGACCCTCATGTTTTCGGATGAAGAGCCGCTGCCATGGTTGGACGTTATGTGCCAGTACTCCGAGGCCAAGCTCACATATCCATCTGATCGACTGCCCGCGCTATCTGGTATCGCAGCACGCCAGCACGAGATTACTGGAGATAAATACTTGGCGGGTTTGTGGGAGAAAGATTTGATCCCCTCTCTGCTGTGGTTTAGCCTGGATGCTACCGAAACGACGGAGCGGCGTGCGTGCAGCTGGACCTGGGCTTCCATCGATGGACCATGCAGCGTCAAGGAATTCACCGAGAAGGGCGGAACGCCGCAAGTAAGACTTCTGGAATCGTGGACGAAGCTCCTTGGACCAGACCCCTTTGGCCCAGTCACGGACGGTGAAATCACACTGGCCTGCCAGTCTCTTATACCTGCCACCCTTGACCGTGAGGGGTCACAGAGCAACGATGTCGGCTCTGACTGCCCCGAGACGCCCGAAACTAAGAAGGTGCCATCGGTAGCCATTGAGAAATCCGGTCTACAGCCATTCCCGGTTTCGTTGGATTGTATTGAACAAGAAGCAGCCAAGAACGAGCCCGTATACCTTCTTCCCATCATGGCCGGTCGTGTATCTATGTATGTCGATGAAACCGATGAGATGAATTGCCAGAACCCAAACGTCGAGTTTGCTGGCCTTGTCCTTAGGTCTGTTGACAACACGCCAGGCCATTTTGTCCGTCTCGGTATTTTTGGCTTTTCAAACAAATCGTGGGAGCCTGGAATGGAGGGAAGAGATTTGCATGCCGAATTTAGTGGCATTCTGGAGGAACGGGGTGAGGAGACAGCCAAGTCGGTTTGCTTGGAGACGAACGAAAGTGCGGACTATCCGCAGCAGCAATTTGTGATCAAGATCAAGTGAGACGCTCAAGGATGGGCTCTACTGTCAGTGATCGGGTAGCTTTATGAAACACATGAGGAAAGTGTATTGGGTCAAGAAAGATGCGATACTCAAGGGAAGGGCTTTCTATAGTTTATGAAATACCTCTCGTTTTCTGATGAGTTCATTATTACATGCATGGTCCGGTCCAATTGTATTATTTTCACAAATCCATCGTGTCGAGATGTCGGGCCTAACTAACCTCTTCCATTCCATTTTTTTTTTAACTTTATACTCAAACTCTCTCACCATATTATCTTCAAGAAAAGAATCGTATCCTAGCTAGTTGCTAATCATCAGGACTCGTGACGTGTGTATAGATGCTTTTTAGCCACATGGACATAGAAGAATATGTAATGTGACGGAGAGTATCTGATACTTGGTGAAGTAATGCGTACATGAGCACTTGTACGGATCATGAGGCCGTCCATTACCAACAGTCATCCCAAAATCATGTTTAACATTCCGGTAGGTACTCACTAGTCAAAGGGAGCGGCACACCATGCGAGAAACGAGAGAGAAAGATCATGAATCTGGAGTGCAAAAATAATAGCACGAAATAACTTCCACTGACGATTGCATACCTAGGCAAGTTGGCCGAGTGGTTAAGGCGGTGGGTTTAAGAGCCGTAAATTTATGGCGAAAATTTCCACTATCGCGAGATGCGTGGGTTCGAACCCCACACTTGTCAAAGATGTTATTATCTTTTTGCCACCCGGGAAGTTCGAAGTCTAGAGCAAAAGGATATTCAAATCCTTGATGATGCATGTAGAGTGACTCTGCGTTCTTCAAGGTTCGGGGGGATTGATTTCGTTGATATTAAGGCGTGTTCTGTACATACCTACAGTGTGTTCATTGTGTTGAGATATCGGGGTCTGACATCTTCCATTCACTGCTGGCTTTGTTGTGTGAGTCAAGCTACTCGATTTCAAGTTAGTTAGTGCCCAGTTAATATCGACGTTACAGAATCGGAAGAATGAGATTAAACCAAATAGGAATTTTTTCTGCGGAAAACGTCGTTGGTAGTTAGCAGTAAGCAACGAGGATGTGGGATGATGTTAGTGTGCTAGTTCTTATACTATCTAGATTTCCAACAAGCAAAGCACTGTTACAGTAAAGAGGGAGTGGGAGAAGAGGAAAAGTCACCTGTCCTAAGCCTAGGAAAGCCGTTAGTCCCGTGTATGTGGTGAACAGAATAGTTTGTTTCGTATATTTCGGTATCGCCTTGGGTAATTTGATCGCCGTGGGTTGCTTCAACGTCCGAAGCTCCGTCGTTGGGGGGGAAATGAATCAAATACCTTTGAAAGTACATAGGCAAAAGATCAAGAGGTTGTACTCGTTTCTCGAGAGGAGGACTCGTTGACGTCGCGAAATCGATTAATCCGAATCGTGGGGTAGTTTCATTCGGCCGAACTAGGAAATGTCTGGAAGCTCAGTTTCCGGTTTCACTCATGCTATGTAATAGACTTAATAATCCCGCACGCACTCTGCCTTCTTCAACGAAATGAGCCTTTCTGGAGATTCTCACTCCGTGTGGAAACCCGTCACCAAAAGATACTCAGTCGGCATTGATCCGAAAACTCCGGCTGTCCTCCGGAAACTCCGACTGTCTGCACTGTCTTAGATCTCGTTCGTAATCAGCTCATATATACACGCACTGCTAGGAATACCGAGTGCCTTGAGTAGCTAACCCCTCTATGATTGATCAATCAGATTCCTCGCCTTACTCAACTTTGAACCTTACACAGCAAGCATTGGCCAAATGACCCGACTAATAGAACCAATGAAAATTGGCCGGTGCGCCCTAAACCATCGCGTTGTCATGGCTCCCCTGACACGCTTGAGGGCAGATGACGACCAAGTCCCTCGAGATTTGGTTTTTCTCTACTACTCTCAGAGAGCATCCGTCCCAGGGACTTTACTCATCTCTGAGGCTACCTTCATATCACCCAAGTCAAGGGGGAGGGATGAAAATGCACCCGGCATCTTCACCAGTCAACAGGTCGAGGGGTGGAAGCGAATAACGGACGGTGTGCATGCAAAGGGGTCCTACATATTTATGCAGCTGTGGCATGTAGGCCGTGCCGCTCGCCAGCATGCCCTTGACCGAGTAGGGTTGGAGATGGTGAGCAGCAGCAATATTCCCATAAGCGACCAGCACCCGGCCCCACGGCCGATGACGACGGAGGAGATCTGGGAGTGCGTCGGTGACTTTGCCCAGGCTGCCAGAAACGCAATCTCTGCTGGTTTTGATGGCGTGGAGATCCATGGCGCAAACGGGTATCTTATTGACCAGTTCACCCAAGATACCTGCAACAAACGAACTGACGAGTGGGGAGGGAATATTGAGAACCGGAGTCGCTTCTGTCTTGAGATTGCAAAGGCCGTTTCCGAAGCCATTGGCCCTGACAGAGTGGCTATGCGTCTCTCGCCATTCAGTGACTTCCAAGGGATGCGCATGGACGACCCAATCCCGCAATTTACGCACATCATATCAGAGTTGGGAAAGCTCAAGTTGGCTTATTTGCACCTTATTGAGCCCCGTGTCTCTGGAAATACCGACAAACAGGCGGGCAGCGGAGAAAGCTTGGATTTCGCCATCAAGGCTTGGAACAAGGCCGGCTCTATCATTCTCGCCGGCGGGTACTCTCTTGCTAGAGTAGAAGAGGCTCTAGAGACGGGGCTCAAAAATGAAGACGTAGGATTCGCATTCGGCCGGCATTTCATCTCTAATCCAGATCTGCCGTACAGGCTCGCGAATAATATTCCTCTCACACATTACCAACGTGACACCTTTTACAAGGTGAAGAGCCCTGACGGATACACAGACTACAGCTTTTCCGACAAATGGAAGAACGAGGCGCCTGTATATCAGCATTGAAGTCAACAAAGTGATCGTGCTTGATGTCAAATGCAGTATGATAGATAGATCAAGTAGAAACTTTAATAGTAAAATAAAGAAATCTATTTATACCGTGTCACTTCAGACCGAAAGTCTCCACGGCACGATATGACGGGGTTCAGCACCGGGGCATGAGTCAAATTGCGGGGGCGAAGTATGGAGGAGACTCCCTGTTTCCGCGAACTCTCCTCATCTTGATGGATACATGTGATCGGCAGGTACATAGCTGGTCACAACGGAAGCCTACTTCGAACCATTCTCACCCTTCGATCTCATATCAACTGATACACTTCCCAGGAACGATGGCTGCTCTCCCTCACAAGCTGGACGTTCTTGTCATCGGAGGTGGCAATGCTGGCTTCAGTGCCGCCGTATCCGCTGCCCAATCCGGCGCCGGAAGCGTCCTGCTCATCGACAGAGCGCCCGAGGAATGGGCGGGCGGAAACACATATTTCACCGCCGGTGCATACCGTGCCGCGCACGGGGGACTACAGGACCTGCTGCCCCTCGTCAACAATGTCTCCCGGGAGCAGGCGCGCAAGATCGAGCTCGCCCCCTACTCCGAGCAGGACTTCATGGATGACCTGAACAAGGTCTGCATGGGGCGGTCGGATCCCGGGCTGGCTGAGAAGCTCGTCTCCGAGTCCAATGAGGCCATCAAGTGGCTCCATGGCAATGGTATCCGGTTCCAGCTGTCGTTCAATCGCCAGGCCTATGAAGTCGACGGCAAGATCAAGTTTTGGGGCGGTCTTTCTCTCAAGACTCAGGACGGCGGGAAAGGTCTTATTGCCGACCACCGGGCCGCGGCAAAGCGAAACAATGTGCAGGTGTCTTGGTCTACACTGATGAGCGACATCAAGCGCAACGGCGACGGTTCATTCACCGTCACTCTGCAGGTAGACAGTGTACCGCAGAAATTGTCCGTCGGGGCTGTCATCTTTGCTGCCGGAGGCTTCGAGTCTAACCCTCAGATGCGCAGCCAGTTCCTGGGACCCGGTTGGGACATGGCCATGGTTCGTGGCACGCCATATAACACCGGAGACTGTCTGAACTATGCCATTCGCGAGCTCGACACAAAGGCCGTGGGAAATTGGTCCGGTTGTCATTCCGTCGCGTGGGATGCAAATGCTGACCCCGACACTGGTGATCGTGTTGCGTCCAACGAGTACACCAAGTCTGGGTACCCGCTTGGTCTTATGTTCAACATCGACGGCCAGCGTTTTGTTGACGAGGGGGTCGACATGAGGAACTACACATATGCCAAGTTCGGCCGTGCTATCTTACAGCAGCCCGAGAGCATTGCCTTCCAGGTCTGGGATGCTCAAACGAGCCCATGGCTCCGGTCAGAGGAATACCGTGAGGGGCGTGTGGAGCGCATCACTGCGTCTACGCTGGAAGAACTGGCGACTAAGTGCGGCGCTCGGGGCCTTCAAGACCAGGAGTCTTTCCTCAGAAACCTCAGAGAATACAATGAGGCCGTGTATGCCCACCGGCGGGAGAATCCAAGCGTGAAGTGGGATCCCGCCGTCAAGGATGGCTTGTCCACCCAATCGTCCAAGAAGCAGCTGGCGTTGGCAAAATCGAACTGGGCCCTGCCTGTGGATCAGGGACCCTTCGTCGCCGTCAAGGTCACTTGCGGCATCACCTTTACCTTTGGCGGGCTCAAGGTTGACCCTGAGACCGCGGGATTGATTAGTGCATCAACCGGCAAGCCCATGCCGGGTCTTTTCTGTGTGGGTGAGATGATGGGTGGGCTGTTCTATTCCAATTATCCTGGTGGTAGCGGACTGACATCCGGAGCCGTCTTCGGAAGGAGGGCTGGAAGGGCCGCAGCAGCTATCAGCAAGAAGATGTCGGCGGGAGGATCTGCCTCTGGTACATTCTCAAGCAAACTGTAGGATTTCTTTGAAACCACCTACTAATAGCTAGACTAGATTGAAAATTTCCTTTTCTTGTATTAGCTAAGATTTGGGAATATACATTAATCGATATTGCTCATCACTGATTAGCAATAGTGTTCTTTGCTGAGCTACGTAATGGCATGGTGATCTACTCACCTGATTACTATTACTATTATATATGAGAAAAAGTACAACCGCTAAACAGCCAAGATGAGACCCTGCCAATACAGATAGATTCCATTTTCGTTTATGTAAAATTAAAGATGCTTTCTAAATTTACTATCAAGAAATTGTTCGTGATGTTTCCTATTAACGACCTTTATGTTGGTGGTGAGGGGTGGTTGAAGTTGGGGCTGGAACTTATGCTTTTAATCTATAGGAAGATCTAGTGCCTAGTATTTCGCTATCTCTAGAGAGCTGGAGAAGGTTTATTTGGGTGATATGGAAAGCTGTTAGTCACCTAAATCACACATAGTATGATATATGGAGCATGTGTAGGGCGCGAGAATAGTTGGCATTCTTAGTTAATTAACGAACCCCTCCACAGTAGTGCGAGCTCGGAGTTTCTGTATTCGCCTCAAGTCATTTATTAACATTCTGAGATGATACTGCAGCGCAATGGTGTTGTTGGCGATATGTGGCGCGACGTTTTGAGGGGCGCCTTGTCTCCCGTTGATAAAATAGGTTTGACGGGCGGCTATAGAATCCGAGCTCGTCTAGCTTCCTCATTTCACAAGCTATATCTCAGTCGACAGATTTAGCAACTTTACCATTCATTTTATACACTAGAAAGCAGTCGACCTGGAGCAATACCCCTGTTGCTTATTCATCGCGATGTGCCGCAACATGGAAACTATCATTATTATTAGGGGTTGGACACAATGGTTC